GTTGTTTTATATTATTTGCTATTTAGTTTTAGATAGCATTTGTTTTTGTTATTTTTAGTAGTGCATTTCCACCCTGATCTCATGAGGAAACGTAACTATTTTACATTTTGTCAGTTTAGTAGCTAATGTAGTGGCACATTCTGTTGTATAAAAGTGTACGATTTTCGAAAGGTGACTCCAAACCCCACTCCTAAACCCAACTCTCATTGGAAGATGGACTAATTGTACTAAATTGTACTAATGAGATTTTACGAATTCATACATATTAGCCACTAAATTAAAAAGTTACGAATTGAAGTGAGAAAGCATTGATATTTTCTACAATTTTATTCCTGTTTAAATGCATTTTAAATGCTTCAGAGCCGCATTAAACAGTTACTTTATGCCGCCTGGAGTTTGGTATCTGAAAATTTGGTGCTTCTAAAGCCGTACATTCCCGTATCAGGATTTCATTTGAGACTGTGGGAATAACAGCGAATGGTCATTCAGATTCGATAACTGCTGACTTGTCAGGAGCTCGTAAAGCAGCCACTCTACCAAAGTTCTTTTGCTGCAGTCCTGGCAAGGAGTTGTTATCACCTCAGAGCTTCGAAACATATGTCAGTCTCACTGATGATTACAGTTATTTATCATTGGCTTGACTGTGCTATTGGCTACACACATGATCTCCTGTGAAGTAAAACTGACTGGCCCACCTAAATGGGGTCCGATTTTGGCCACGTAATGTAGCCTTTTTCTAAAAAGAAGAGTCTGCACTTCATCGGGTTGCTTCATCGGAGTTGCTGTAATTTTGTCCATTCACTTACTTTCCTTCAAGTTCTACTTGGAGTTGAAGGCAAAATGATTAGCCGTGGAGTGGTGAAACTTCAATATTGGGCTTATTCTCACTATTAACTTATTGGCATGACTATTTTTAATATATTAGCTGTTTATTAGTACTTATAAAGTACATATTCTGCATGATCGTTGTAAAGAGGAGACTGACACGGAGGGATCCATTATGCAGTATGTATTAATCAAGCTCTCACTCAAACACACAATATGCACTAACGTGCAAACACACAACAACAACAGTCTGTGATGGATAAAGACTGGCGATGAACAGACACAGAGAGTTTTACCAGGCATAGATCGAGGGCAGGCTGCAAGTATCAGAGTCCGTGTATCAGGCTTGGGTCGTGGGCAGGCAGCGGATATCAGAGTCCGTGTATCAGGCGTGGGTCGTGGGCAGGCAGCGAATATCAGAGTCCGTATATCAGGCGCGGGTCGTGGGCAGGCAGAAGGCGAAGCAGAGTCAGAGACAGGCTGGAGTAATGCACGAGGAATCAGGCAGGAATAACGCCCAGAAATGCTGGCCGGGGCTAAACAAGACTTCGCACTGACTGAGCGTTTGGAACTGGCTTATAAAGGGTACGTGGGTCGTTAGCTTGATTCAGAACAGGTGTATGCACAATCAGCGTATGTGGATGATGTAATGTTAGAAGTCCGGAGATGGCGGCCTCTGCTGGCCAGCGAGGGGAATGACTGGGACCGAGTCGGTGACAATCGTATTCTACATCCCTACTTATATCCAATGCCTAAACCTTAAGGGTGTCACGATCCTCCAAATCCTCGATTCGATTACATTTTCGATTCTAAAGTCACGATTCGATTACATTTTCGATTCTTAAGTCTTGATTCGATTCGATTCGATTTTCGATTATGAATAATTAATTAATGACCAATTAATTATTTGTAGCCTACCGTTTAAACTACCTGACCTGCATGGTCTTTGTTTTTACCCATAAACAAATCATACAGTAAATGAATAAAGGTAAGTTACACACATAATTACCAAAATCGATCTATTGAATTAATCAATCTATTAAAAAAAGTTGGCTAGAATTCTGCATTTTTGGCTTAAATTATAGAGAGACATAGCAGATGAACTGAGACTGCATCAGATCGCGAACCAGATCAGTGTTGATCCTTCTTTCAAGCTGTCAGTGCGAAAATGAACAAAACAACTGGCCTAACACAACATATTATATGATTAAAACATGAAAAAATGATCAGTAACTTCGGTCAATTTCCCTGACGGATAAACCGAGATCAGGCTGAATAAACAGCTCTCGGTAATATTTCAGCATGCTTTCACTTTCGCATTTACCGGTAAGAATGACATCTCGCCCTGCTCATCATTCTCTCTTCATATAGCCGTATATATGGCTATTACACGATCATAATACTCTGTGATATAGCCTGGGTCGTTAGTTCGTTTCATTGTTTTGTTTTCTCACTACGATCGATTCGCTCAATAGGGCAGAGACCGTCTCATTCAGGCGATCTCGGACTGATTGATTTGGCGCGGATGCGAGCACAACTGCTGGATATATGCCAAACAGCAGCGCTAACGGGGGAAACGAGACAGATTCCGAAACAAACGTCTATGTGTGAAAGCACCGTAAGATTGTATTTGCACACAATTGACAGATAGTCGCAGCACGCAGATCTGGCTCGATCTGGCAGGCAACAAGGCAGCACTGTACACTGGCCCGAGCGTCTCGCTGGCCCCGGGCCATCGGGCAGTCCTTATTGTCGAGTCCTAAAAGTTTAAGCTCTGTTGACGGGTCTCCTGCCTCTGCACAGTTTAACAAGCACTTTAACAAGCCTGTTTTTTCACGCTTGGCAAGCCAAGCTGACGTGACATGGGGGCGTGGCAGCATCGACGATTCTATTCTTTGATGCGATAATCGAAATTGAGCATAAATTTCGATCGATATCGATTTAAAATCGAAATCGTGACACCCTTACTAAACCTAAATACTACCTAAAAAAGAACAGAAAATAAATAGCAATATGCTAATATTAAATAGTAGAGAAAAGCTAACAAGTACACTGATATCAATACACAGAATCTGAATGTGCAGATGGGCTTTTTATAGATTAAACAGAGGTTTGAGAAGTTCTTTATAGTTGTGTAGACCCTGAGGTATTTTGTGTGATGTTTAGGTGGACTATGTTTGTTTTTTTGTACTTAGTGTTCTGTAGCTCTGCTAGTTCAAGTAGAGGCCGGATGTAAAGAGTTTGAAATGAGTTTCCTAGTTTTTATTCTTGGAGGTAAGGCAGAGGGCACCAGAAGAGAGAGAGAGAGAGAGAGAAATAAAAAATCATAGTATAATAATAATCCCTTACATTTATATGGTGCTGTTTTAGGTACTTAAAGTGCTTTACAGATGTTGGGGGAATCACCTCATCATCCACCACCAGTGTGTAGCATCCACCTGCATGACACGACGGCAGCCACTTTGCCAGAATGCAAACCACATGCCAGCTGATTGGTGGAGAGGAGTGATGAAGCCAGTTATGATATGGAGATGATTAGTAGGCCATAATGGACAGAGACCAGTGGGCAAAATTTGGCAAGGATATCAGGGACACTCTTTTCGAAGGATATCCTGTATTTTGTAATGACCACAGAGAGTCAAGACCTCGGTTGAATGTCTCAAACTGTCACCAAAGCAGCACACACTGACAGTATATCATCTCCTTCACTATATTTGGGCATTAGGACCCACACAGACTGCAGGTTGAGCTAACTAACACCATTTCTGGCTGTAACATAGTTTTCCCTTATGGTCTCTCATCCAGGTACTAACCAGGCGACCATGTAACAGCTGCAGAGAGCTTCCAAAAAAAAAAAAATAAATAAAAATAAATAAATAAATATATATATATATATATATATATATATATATATATTGGCCCGATTGGACCAGTGGTTCAGATTTTTACTTGCCCTGCCAAAATTTTCACTGGCCCCATAAAAGAAATAAAAAAGTTAGCCACATATATTAAATAATGTTTCACGAAATAATGTCAGGCGGTTCATTCCACTGTGGCGACCCCAGATTAATAAAGGGACAAAACCGAAAAGATAATAAATGAATGAAAATAATTTCAGTAGTTGTAGAATTGAAACATTTGAAAAATATTTAGAAAAATATAGCAGTATGGAAAACGTGCACGTATTTTATTGCAAAACAAAGGTGGCTGATTTAAAAGTGACGGCAAACTAAGAAAAACATTACCTTCATTTTTTTCGTCATGCTGTACCTATTTAAATGTTCCCACAAAGTTAGAAACAGACATTTCCATTAGCCTCATAATTTAATGTGGCGGTCATGTTGCCATCTATTAAAATTTAGTGACAAGGCAGCACTGCCCCAATCGGGCCAGTAACAATTCTGTCTACTGTCCCGAGCATCTCTCACACTGGCCCCGGGCCATCGGGCAGTCCTTATTGTTGAGCCCTGTATATATATATATATATATATATATATATATATATATATATATATATATATATATATATATATATATATATATATATTAATAATAATAATAATTGCTTACATTTATATAGCGCTTTTCTTGACACTTAAAGTGCTTTACACTTTGGGGGGAATCTCCTCATCCACCACCAGTGTGTAGCATCCACCTGGATGATGCGGCGGCCATATTGCACCAGAATGCAAATCACACACCAGCTGATTGGCAGAGAGGAGACAGAGTGATGAAGCTAATTATGGTATGCGGATTGTTAGGAGGCCATGACAGACAGAGGCCAGAGGGTAGATTTGGCCAGGATGCCAGGGTTAAACCCCTACTCTTTTTCGAAGGACATTCTGGGATTTTTAACGGCCACAGAGAGTCGGGACCTCAATTTAACGTCTCATCCGAAAGACGGCTCTCCGAAAGAGTCCCCGTCACTATACTGGGGCGTTAGGACCCGCACAAACTGCAAGTTGAGCGCCCCCTGCTGGTTTCATTAACACCACTTCCGGCAACAACCTAGCTTTCCCATGTGGTCTCCCATCCTGCTTAGCTTCAGTGGGCGATCATGTGGGAGATGCAGAGAGCTAGCTACCGGCATCCTTATTGGCCGTTTTTGGAGTCCTTAATTAAATATGAAATTGGCTTAATGTTCATCTGGCTGTTCTTGTGTTTGTGTTCTTCAGGATCTCTCTGGCTCTATTGACGACCTCCCCACGGGAACAGAAGCAGGTCTCAGTTCAGCCGTCAGCGCTTCAGGCTCTACCAGCAGTCAAGGCGAGCAGAGTAACCCCGCTCAGTCCCCCTTCTCCCCCCACGCCTCACCCAGAGTTCCCAGCATGCGCAGCGGACCCTCGCCCTCCCCAGTTGGATCTCCTGTGGGTTCCAGCCAGTCCCGATCTGGGCCCATATCACCTGCCAGTGGGCCAGGTAAAGGATTATGTGCGAGATGTAATTTTTAAAGGATGTCATATTTTAAACTGTTGTTTGTTACTTAGAAATTCAATATGTGCCTTTGTTTGAAGGATAAAACTCACTGGTGGTATATTGTTACAATTAGTTTATAGAAGTTGCAAATTATTATTTCTTTTATTATTATTTTTTTGATGTCATGTGTAATTTCATGTGTTACTTAATAAATTATTGTCATTATTTTGCCATAAATTCAAGGCTTTCTCAGTGTAGGGATATTTTTTAGGAATATGAATAACTAGTTTGCATTAAAGTTAGTACGTTTTACTGATTCAATTAGTAATGGTGATTTAATTTTGTTAAAGGTTCACGAAACCCTCACAGGGCTCGAAATTAACCTTTTTGCTTGGTAGCACCGGTGCTCCTAACTTAAAAAATGTAGGCGCATCAGCCAAAATTTAGTCGCACACACCAATTATGAGCACCGTTACTACAAGTTTTATACAAACAGATTTATTGTATTTGAAATCAACACTAATCAAGCTAACAAGAAAAAAAAATTAATATATATATGCAAGCGTGAGGAAAATATGTCTCAACGAAATCCCGTTATCACAAGAAAATAGATTTTTATAACATAAGTGTGTGACCAAAGCATACACGGAGCGCTCACCGGCCCTGCAAGCACTGCTTGACATGAATCTGTTAACGGTATATCTGTGCTGTTCTCACTAGTGCTGTCTGATATTGCACTGATGCTTTTGACATATACTGTACCTTATTATATGCATACGTCATGTTAATAGCAATACCGGTCTTTTCATGAGTAGCGATAATAGTTCACTCAGTGCAAGCCCGTATGTGATAGTGTACGTGGTGTAATTTGACATATAGCTGCCTCTTGCATGGCGGACAGCATCTGGCGATTATATGAAGGATTAAACAGAAGCTCTCGTGCTAGATGTGGGAAACAGTTACCTGAAAACTTCATCTCACAGACTTTTCATAGCGGACTTGAAGCCAACGGAAGTCTTCTACTCTTGGAAAAGTGTAGATGGTGGATTAACATTCAGCACATGATCACTAGTAAGATGTGTCATTATTTATAACTTTGGATGCCATGGTTTCTAAAACTAAATCTGTCCGCGTTATCTTCATTCTCATCTTCAGCGCTTTAGTTTTCCGCGCGCGATAGTAGCTCTCCCTGTCATCCGACGCCAGAAGGCGCTGACTGAGTGATTGACAGCTGATATTAACCAATCATTCGCGTTCAGTGCTAGAGCAGTGGTGGGCCAATAAGAAGAGCGCGAAGGCGGGGCAGGCATTACGGACTTGGCTTTGTTTACTGCAGCAAGATGTTTTAAACAATTCCTGAGCGCTGCGTTTCGCGTTTCAAGTGCAGACTAAGAGCTTAGAGATGCATTCTGCGTGAATGTATCCCGAATCCGCGCATGTAGTAAACATTTTGCAGTAAAAACTGGTCGCACACAACAATTTTAAGCACTTGCAGAAATGCTCCCAAATATATTTTAAGGTCGCAAAGATAAAATTTCGGGCGCATATGCGACCAAAATGGTCGCAATTTGGAGCCCTGCCTCAAGTGTCAGGGTTCTGCCACTCTGGTCATGTAAATTCTTCTTTTGATGGCAGAGTCCGGACACTAGTCATGTCTAGTTCTGTCCTGTTGTGCTCGGCTCGAGTTTTCTTGGGTTGAGCACTTGTTTCTGTCATTGTGTGTGTCTCCGTGTGTGCGCGCGCCTTTGTGGGTGTGCGCAGAGCGCACACGCTCCCGCTTGATGCGGCCACGCGGGCTCTGCGTGCCTCGGCGCGCTCTTGTACTCGTGTTTGTGTTTTCGTCTGTCTGCAGCGTGGTGTTTCATTCCCAGCGTCTCAGTCTAGTTGGTTTCGGTTTTGGTCGGCGCTGGGATGAAGCATGCACGCTGCGTGTGTGAGCACAAGGTGAGTGTTTTCATTCATCGTGTGCTCGTGTCTTGCGACTGTCGTCAAAGCACGTGGCTATTTGTTTACATTGTGGTCACGTGCTTTTGTCGTGTGCTTCAGTGTTGTGCTTGTGTTGTCATGAACATGCGGTTAATGAGTTCTCTCATTGGCTGCATGTTCTTGTCCTGTTTTATGTGAGCGCATGTCTTGTCTCTGTCATGCGCTCTCACGTCTATTGTCTAGTCCCACCCTCCTTGTTAACTCATTATTAGTTTGTCATGTTCACCTGTTTGTGTCAATTTACTTTTGCTTTATAATCCCCTCATGTTTTCTGTCCTGTGCCAGTTCGTCGTCGATCTTTCCCTATCCTGCTGTGTCCAGTCCTGCCTTGCCTCACCTGCCCAGTCAAGTTTGTTTGTTTATTTGTTTTATTAGTGTTTTTCCCCCTCGAGGTTGTTTGTTTTGCCTTTTTGTTTTATTTGTACTTTTATATTAATAAAACCCATTATTTCGTTGCAATTGAGTCCTCGCTCCTTTTCCCCTCACCCGTCCGTGACACAAGTACTTTTTTAGAGATGTTAACAGATTAGTGTGTGTTGAGCATCAGTTATGACAATGTTAGCACCTGGAAAACTGGGTCATTTTGAGCTTTTGTCAGCTAGTTTCATCTTCCAGGTTTAAAATGATTTTTGGGGCGGATCAAAATCGGCGACGTAGCGCAAAACTGCAAGTGCAAAGATGACGCGTCGGTTTCTCATTATTATTCATAGCGAAGTTTTCTTATCCTATGAGAAGAGCCGGCTTCTTAATTATTCATGAGTGCACGTGCTTTCTGAAGGCAAAGCAGACCGGCCAGTGCCAAGCTGTGAGTGTGAGATTCTACGTTGATGACTGGGTGAGACTCGTTGTTACGACCTCTTGATGTTAGACTAGGGATTGAAGTAAATAACAAAATACTGCCAAAAAAAGAGAATTTATCATACAAAAATCAAAGATAAAGAGAAAATAGTAATGATAAAGAAGAATAATATAGATAACAACAAATAACCAAGTAAATTAATTATATACAACTTATTATAACCAAAATAATCCAAAAACAATAAACCCTGCAGGGCAAGAGGACAAAGTGGCACTGAAAGAAAAGAAAATAACAAAACAAAAATCAAACTACCTCAGTATAATCCTTTAACCTAACTGAAAACAAAACAATCAAAAGCAAGTCTTCAGCGTTTACACGCCCTAACTTACCCACTCTAAACTTAACCAAACCGAAAAATACAAAGGCAGCGCTCACTCCTAGTTTATTATATACAGTAATGCATCGTTCTTTAATTGTTTAGCTACGAGTTCATATGTTTGTTTGAGAAAACCCACCCCTAAATAGCAAATGTTTTCATTTTTTGTGATTGAAATCTATGTTACTTCACCAAAATGTAGAGATCAACATCCCATAATACAATTCACAACCATAAATAAATGGAAAACCCTTGTGAATACCAAAACACAGAGTTATATATATATATATATACATATTTTTTTATTTTTATTTATTTATTTATTTATTTATTTTAATTTTTTTTACAGCTAATCAATATTCTTGAATAATCTGTTCTGAATATTCTGGTCTAAACATACGATTGCCGCGCATAACTCTCACGCAGCCATTAGCTTCAGTCATCACACGCCTCTGGTTTAGTCAGAGGTGTTTGAGCTCCACACAGCAGGGATCCGAACTGACTTTAAAACAAGTCGCTCTGTCATTAAAATAGTTTTGAAAGTCTGTTAGCAGTTTGGAGTCACTTTGACACAATTACTGTCCTGCTGCGAGCTGCATTGTTAGCCGGGCTTCTTTTTGATAGCCGGGGCAGCAGCGGAAAAGGCTTTGTGCAGCTGAAACTGCTGCTTTTTTCTTCCCTTTTTCCATTCTGAATGTCACTAACAAGGTCCACAGGAGAGCGTTTACCCCGCTGCACACAAAACTGCCTCATCCCTACTGGGAGCCCCGACGGCCATTAGCCGCACACAGGGGCTGGTCCTGACATGTGATCTGTGTGCCATTACTGGAGAAGGAATATCTCTGCTTTTACAAACATACACTTTCTGTACATAAAGACACACACAGTTGCTCCCGGGAGAGAAACAATGAGCCTTAAACGCCTCCCACGGGACGCGTGGTTAGACGTTCATGCCCTCCAGGCTAATTTGTCTGATATTTATCGTCAAAACTAGCTTCCGCTTGAGACCATTAGCCGTGTTTGTGGTTTGCGCATGTGAACTAAGGAAATATCTTTTGTGTTTCTTTTTTTGTTTTTGTTTTTAAATATCAGTTTTGCCATCCAGGAAAATATTTACACATTATTAAAACAAGATAAAAGTGATTGTTATTAGTCACTTGCTGTTTATTCAAACAACGTATTTAAAGGGTCACAAAACACCAACGCACATTTTTTTCAGCTGTTGACAGTCATATATGTGTCCCATGCTGCTATAAACACTATTAGTACACATATATTTCACTATAAAGTGAAAATTGGTTGTTTTCGCGTTATTTTAGATCATTTTTAAGTGCAATTTGTTAGTGATTTTCATTATTTTTATTAATTATATGGTAAGAAGGTATGTGTAACAATTATAGAAAATTTTATTATGTGTAAAAAAAAGCATCTGTTATTATGAACTTTGCATAAATAAAGTTATTCCACCCACAAGAGGAGCGATAATACAGAAATTTTGCGCTTTAAACGATTCAATCGATGGATCTCCGACAGAGTTTGGGAAACTCATCACTACATAGTTTATTCAATACATTAATGCATTGTTCTTTAGTTTTTTAGCTACAAGTTAAAGAAAAAATCTACTTTTCAAGCTGTTTGGACATACATGTGTGTAGGTATAGTGTATATACTGTCATATTGGGGTGATATAAACACACCCAGTCCTTTTTTTTTTCAAATTTAACAACATAAAAACGGTGGACCAATTGGAGCGGTTTTTAGATCGACCGCAACTTTACGTAGGAGTGCGGCTCCCCCGCCCACCAATATTGATTGACAGCTGCGCGCATTACCATGTCTCCATAGTAATGCATAAATCATATCGACAAGACAGGTCAAGCACAAACCAACCGGGAATAAAAGGTCTGTTTAGTTTGCTAGGATCATTAATCATCATCAGACGTGACCAAGAGTGAGTTTTACAAGTTTAACATGTTTTAAAAGGTGTGCACGTGTGTAATACAAGTACAAGTACAGCCATTTACTTCAGATTCACTTCATCAGCACAGACGCTTGTTTCTTTCACTGTCTCTGTGTGTGTTTGTCTGCGCTATGTATGTGTGTGTGTGTGTGTGTGTGTCTGCGCTACGTGTCTGTGCTATGTGTGTGTGTGTGTCTGCGTGTCTATGCTATGTATGTGTGTGTGTGTGTGTGTGTTTGCGCTACGTGTCTGTGCTATGTGTGGGTGTCTGCGTGTCTACGCTATGTATGTTGGTGTGTGTGTCTGCACTACGTGTCTGTGCTATGTGTGTGTGTTTGTCTGCGTGTGTGCGTGAACTCATTGTTGCAACTCCACAAAAAATGCATCAAATACTGATCGATAAAGTTCTTATTGTAGTATTTCTCACAAACGTTACGCGAGATCTGCTTCCTGACACAGCCGAGGGCGGCGATTGAGGCATGTTGCTGATAGGCACGTGGGAACGGTGGGCGGGGATGACTCACCTTAAAGGCCCAGTGCAAAAAAACTTTGAAACTTTACAGACACATTCTGGGGACACAAAAGACTTATAATAAATATGAAAAAAGGGGTAACCTATGTGCCCTTTAACGTTTGTTTGAGAAACCCATCCCTAAATAGCAAATGTTTTCATTTGTTGTGATTTAAATCTGTGTTACTTCATCAAAATGTTGACGTCATTACTCTTTAAAAATGAACATAAAGAACCCTATCAAATACCCGGCGCAATAAGGCGCAACATGTTTTTGGCGCGATTTGTTGCTATTTTCAGACCAGCGCAACAATAATTTTCATGTTTTGCACCACGTTGTTTAAAAAGCAAATCCTTTTGCGCCACTTTGTGGATTCATGGGTGTGCCGGTCTAAAAAGGAGCTGTGTTAATGAGCATTGTTGGCGTGTTGCTATTTTGAGAAACTGAAATAGACTAGTAAGCTGTTGACCAACTAGATACTGGGCTACTATTATTATTATTAGCAGTATTATTTATTATATGCATATTTTTAAGTTTGTTTTAATAAATACAAGTTTAGATTTATTCACCTGTCGGGTTTTGGAGACCTACTGCATGCGTCATTATAAAAATAGGACGTGTGTTTGGATATAATTTGTTGAGCTCACTTTATTATTATTGTTCATTTATTCGTTTGCTGGAAATTAGAACTGGATTGAGAAATAGTTTTAAAACAAATCTTAGCACTTAACAAATGAAATAAAATATGTAGGCTAATGGATGTCTTCAGTGGAGTATGTAAAACACCCTTTCCTTACTTTACGAAAGTAAAGGAGTATAGAGTAAAAGTAAAGTAAAGAGAAAGTCGAGGCCGAATGGAGGAGGCTCATTCTTTATCCTCGCTGCAGATGGTCTGTTTAACAGTTTTTTCGCTAGTGAAGTGTTCAGTTTTTCTATTTATAAAGTCCGCCATGTAAATAGCAAATGCACCATGGTGCGACACAGCTGACTCTTAGAGGGAATGGGAGATGAGACTGATTGGTTTAATACACGTTATGCTCAAAACACACACATAACTCATTAAGAGAATAAGCACAGCCCTGTTAGACCATGCACCGGGCCACAAACCGTATTTTTCTGTTTTTAATATAGCAAAGGTTGATTCGGACACACCCTTTACGCTTTTGCGCCATGCACTTTAGACTTTGCGCCTAGATCGTTAAGAAAGAGCCCAAACATAGCATATTTCGTTACTTTACGCACTTTTGTTTTCTGCTAATTTACATAAGTATTTTTAATTTAAAATGTAGAAAGAATCGCTGAAAACACATAGCTACATTTAGGGAAGTGGTCTTATAATTTGTTATACACAGCTGTATTTATATAAATATACATACAGATCCTAAAAGCGCAGGACGTATAATTATAACAAAACTTCAATATGCATCGATGTAGATATTAATATAATTATCGGTTACTTTATAGTGATCATTCTTGTTCTGAATGCTCAACAGGACATAAAAAGAAGGAAATAATGAATTAAGGGTATATGGAGTGTACAGTAAAAGACTGTGGTTTTACGCACACATGCGCATTTCTTTCCGCACACACAGGCACACAGATGGCCCCTCAGACCCCAGGGAATGTTCCAGACGTGGGCTCCCATTCCACTCACAGTCAGTCGCCTATGTCTCAGGAGAGAGGTGAGCTGATTTCTTCTGCTAGCATTACCCCTCACAGTGCTTCTATTTACAGCTGTCAGGAAAAAGAGAGGTTTGTTCAACTCTTGACAGCTGTGTTTTTATTGGTTATTGTGTAGCGCTAAATTTGTTTATTAAACGGTAGCTTTTAATGATTTGTTTAATTCTTTAGCATTTTTCACGTGTTCATTAGGGATGCACAATATATCGGCAACCATATCAATATCGGCCGATAAATGCTATTTGTAATGTTGTCGTTATTAGTTCCATAACTAAATTAGGCCGATAAATTATGTATTATTTTTACATGCTTGCTGTCCACAAAAAGTGTATATTTATTGATTATTATATTGATTATTGGTGTTCAAATCTTTAATTAGCTGTTGGTCATTGTTATTGATCAAAAATTCCATATCGGTTATTATTATTGATCAAAAATTTTATACCGGTTATTATTATCAATCAAAATTCTATATTGGTTATTTTTATTGATCAAAAATTCTATATCGGTTATTATTATTGATCAAAAATTCCATATCGGTTATTATTGATCAAAAATTCTATATTGATTATTATTATCAATCAAAATTCTATATCATTAATATTATTGATAAAAAAATCTATATCGGTTATTTTTATGGATCAAAAATTCCATATTGGTTATGATTATCGATCAAAAATTCTAGATTGGTTATTATTATCGATCAAAAATTCGATATTGGTTGTTATTATTAGTCCAAAAATTATATCTGTTATCGTTATCAGTCATTAATACCATATAGGTTATTATTATTGAATAAAAATTCCATCATTATCAGTCCAAAATTCCACATTGATTATTATTATTGATAAAAATTTCTTATCGGTTATTGTTATCAGTCCAAAATTCAATATCGGTTATCGTTATCAGTCCAAAATTCAATATCGGTTATCGTTATCAGTCAAAAATTCCATTTTGGTTATTAATATCTGTGAATAATTCTATTTCGGTTATTGCTATTAATCCAAAATTTCATGTTGGTTTTTATTATCAGTCAAAAATGTCATATCGGTTATAATTATCAGTTCAAAATTTCATGTTGGTTATTATCATCTGTGAAAAATTCTATTTTGGTTATTGTTATCAGTAAAAAATGTCATATTAATATTAATACTGTATGTCATATAAAATGTTTCACAGTGATGTTAATGAGAAACACAAATGTGTGAATTTGAATAAAAGAACAGTTTTTTTCCCCTTTAGTCCAAAAATTCAGTCACAGATTTTTTTTACTTTTAATTAACTGATGAATGAGATTATATTTACTTTGGTTTAATAATTTCAAGTCAGTGACACAAACAAGGAATATCAGTTTATTATTTATGAAATAATATTAAATTATGCCTATTTTTCCATAAATTGACAGTTGATGTTTTTTTACGTAACCATTTATTGTCAACAACATAAGTGTGCAAAAATTATATTATTATTATTATTATTATTAACGTTTTCAATTTCAGCTTTTCTTAACATACATTTTATATTTTCTTTATAAACAAAAAGAGTGTTGAAAACAGCCGTCACAAATTAAAAATGCCTTCTTTCATCTAAGTTGCTACATGAGTGGCTCAAATGATATCTACTATATCAGATATATACCATACTGTATATTCTAATCAGCGAAATTTATCAACATCACTAGTTTGAACCACAGTATAATACTTTTGGTTGTTTTACATTTTTGTTGTAAACAGTTTAAATATTAAATATTGCAAAGAAATATATATATATATATATATATATATATATATATATATATATAACTACTTAAATGTTTATATATATTAACTACTTAAATGTATATATATATATATTAACTACTTAAATGTATATATATATATATATTTACTACCTAAATGTATATATATTTAACTACTTAAATGTTCCCTTACATATTTTGGCAATTACAATCCTGTGTATTTATAAAAAAAAAAAACCTTATCAGAAATTGTAAATAAATTATTAAAATATATTAATTTTTCCTCTACTGGTAAAACAGAAAACAGGAAGAATGTTAATGAAAATGAATGATACAGCATCTATTGTTTATTAGTATACATACTAATATACACTGTATATTAGTGACTCATACTGAAAAAAATGTTATTAATAGTAAACATTTTAATTATGAATTTTATTGATAACTACAGTAATTTTCATTGTACACTGAAAATGTTTAATGTTATATTTGTAATCTTTCCCACTGTTGTAATTTCATTTATAGGATATGCATCAAACATGCAGCGCAATGCACCTGGTTCCCAGTTTGGAGGTCAGCAGCCTGGACCTTCTATGTCTCCACACTCCTGTCCGACTGGCCCTATGCACCACAGTGTGGGTTCCTATCAGATGGGCCCTTCTTACGGGCCTCAGAGTGGCCAGTATGGTCCTTCAGGTAACACACTCATATCGCCAGCTTTTTCAGCTTGCAAACATGTCAAAGTTTATATGAGAATTGTCCCTTTCTTAAAATATTTTCTTCAAGGGAACAGACTTACAGAATTTTCATTTTCTTGGTTCACTAATGCTCAGATTGTTGCGTTGTTGTTTCAGCTGTGTCTATGAAACAGAGCCCATTATCAGAGCTCAGCAGTGATTTATGTTATGGTGTAGCGCTGTAATAAATGAATAGCTGCTAAGCGTGCCTTTATAATGTCACGGCCTCCACTCTGCTTGATTGATAGTCCCTGTTGTCCTGTCCTCTCATTCAAATGACTGACAGCCGGCTCAGGACAACAGGGGTGCAATGTTGCGGACCTGACACTGACTGAGCTGTAGCGCCGGTCGGCCACAGAATTGTTTACACAGATTGATAGGATCCACGAAAAAAAGATCGCCTGAGACATCGGGATAGAATCCAGCATCACTACAGCTATACACTGAACAAGCAGTATGGAAAATGAATGAATGCGGCGCATTACCTTATGTTAATTAGTTCTTATAATCAACTTTGAACAGCTTTATTTTGTTAAAGGGATAGTTCACCCAGAAATGAATTGTGTGATGATTTACTCCACCTCCACATGTTCCAAAATGGGTTGAGGTTCTTTCTTGTGTTGAACACAAAGGAAGATATATTGACGAATGTGTTGAAAAACAGCCATCACCCAAATAAACTTTATGAGCATTTTGGAATATTTCATTAAAAATGCCTTATGGAAACACCAAGATGCGCATCAATTTTGAGTACGATGAACTTTTTAGCTGATAATCAAAAACTACAAATAAGCAAATAAGCCGATAAGCAAATAAACTACAATGGAAACCCATATACAGTTCATCTGGAAAGTATTGATAGTGCGTTAGTCTTTATGCTACAGCCTTATTCCAAAATGGATTAAACATATTTATTTCCTCAAGATTTTTTTAAATTGTTGCAAATTTATTTAAAATAAAACACCTGAAAAATCAGATGTACATCAGTATTCACAGCCTTTGCTCAATACTTTGTTTGTCAGCGATTACAGCCTCAAGTCTTTTTGAATATGATGCCACAAGCTCTGCACACCTGTCTTTGGGAATTTGTGCCCATTCCTCTTTGCAACACCTCTCAAGCTCTATCAGGTTGGATGGGAAGCGACGGTGTACAGCCATTTTCAGATCTCTCCAGAGATGTTCAATAGGATTTAGGTCTGGGCTCTGGCTGGGCCACTAAAGGACTTCACAGAGTTGTTTTGAAGCCACTCCATTGGTATTTTGGCGGTGTGCTTTGGTCCATTGTCCTGCTGGAAGATGAACCGTCGTCCCAGTCTGAGGTCAAGAGCGCTCTGAAGCAGGTTTTCATGCAGGATGTCTCTGTACCTTGCTGCATTCATCTTTCCCTCTATCCTCTAGTCTTCCAGTTCCTGCTGCTGAAAAACATCCCTACAGCATAATGCTGCCACCACCTTGCTTCACTGTAGGAATGGTATTAGCCTGGTGAAGAGCGATGCCTGTTTTTCTCCAAACGTAATGCCTGGCATTCACTCCAAAGAGTTCAGTTTGAGTCTCATCAGAGCAGAGAGTTTTGCCACTGTGCTCATTGGAACTTTCAGAGCAGCAGAAATGTTTCTGTGACCTTCCCCAGCCTTGTGCCTCGAGACAATCCAGTCTCGGAGGTCTACAGACAATTCCTTTGTCTTCATGCTTGGTTTGTGCTTTGACATGCACTGTCAACCCTGGGACCTTATATAGACAGGTGTATGCCTTTTCAAATCATGTCCAGTCAACTGAATTTACCACAGGTGAACTCAATTAAGCTGCTGAAACATCTCAAGAATGATCAGTGGAGACAGAATGTACCTGAGCTCAATTTAGAGCTTCAAAGGATGTGAATACTGATGTTCATGTGATCTTTCAGGTTTTTATTTTTAATACATTTACAACAATTTCAAAAACTCTTTTTTCACACTGTCATTATGGGGTATTGTGTGTAGAATTATGAGGACATAAATGAATTTAATCCATTTTTGAATAAGGCTGTAACATAAATAAATGTGGAAAAAGTGAAGCGCTGTGAATAATTTCCGCATGCACTGTACATAATAAATTCCAGCAAGGACATAAAAAAAAGTAATGCGATTTTGTTTTAACTGGTCATGTGATCACAAAAATGGGTGCAATTGAATAGCATTAATGGACAAACCAATGGATGGACTGCATTGTAAAACATCTGAAATGTTGTTTTGTACATTCTAAAATCCCTCAGCCAAAGTCTGTCATCAAAGTGGTTCAACAGTGCCTCAAAAAAGCCACCGCGCTTTCATTGCATTTTGTTTTTGTCTTCTGAAGCCATGTCATTTTCAAGACCCATTGCCTTCTCCTAAAGGAACAAATTCTGTTTTTCTTTTTGATTTTTGGCGGCAGTTTATCAGCAAGTGACGACTTTGTTTTCTTTGGCTCACTGTGCTTTATTCGCAGATGTTTAGGTTTTGTGAATACATTTAATTGGCATCTTTTAAGTGGAAACATAGCTATTGACCCCCATAGTATCTTTTGTTCCTACTATGGCTGTCAGTGACTGCTTTATTTTTAGTTTAGAATCGCTTGATTGTGAGCAATTGATTAAGACGTTTACATTTTCGGGGGAACTATTCTTTTAAGATCACTATGCAGGCCCGTAGCCAGGGGTGGTTCGCAGGACCCACCCTCACTGACAAAGGTCTAGAATTTGTCCCATACATGAGCTCATTTGTCCTATTTTAACTGCTGTTCTATCGTAAATTGTGAAAACAACCCATCGAAGAACGCAAGCGGAGTCCTCTGTTGGCTGTCGTGACTTTAGCTTATCAGTTTTGGCCAACGCAAACAATTATTTTTCATGAGTCCAAGATCTGTACAAGAAAACATACAATCTGACGAAAGTAAAGTCGTCTTTCACTATTGACCTACTGTATTGTTTTTAAATAGAGAAACCGTTTTACAAGTTACTTTTATTCTAAATTTTGGATGTTAATCGAGAAACACAACATTTCAGATGTTTTACAATGAAGTCAGATTTTTTTTAACTCTGACTTCAACTGTATATACATTTGAACACATTTGTAATAATTATCTTACCAATCATACCTATTAATTCACATGGCAATTCCTGTACTGTACCTTGAACTTAAGTAATAAGGTACCAAAAATACCAATAAAGTCTTTATAGCCATATCTGACTCACATTGTTCTCTTATAAAAATAAAACAAACAAAAAAAAGCTACTGAAATCCCGTTTTGTGCACTCCTAGTTATAATCTAGCAAGCTTTTCACACCTGGATTTGAGTCGTTGTTCTTTCCTGCCTTTTTTGTATATCCTCTCAAGCTCTCACTGGTTTGGGGTTTATCAATTCAAGTCATTGTCAGCTTTCTCCAGACACTGATTTGGGGTCAGTTTGGCTCTGGCCTCTCAAAGACATTTACAGAGTTGCCCCCAAACCACTCTTGCATTCGCTTGGCTGTGCGCTCTGTATCATTGTCCTCGACAACCTTCTGTACAGTCTAAGTGCTCTAGAGCAGGCTTTCAGTAAGGATGTCTTTGTATTAGGCTGCATTCAGCTTTCCTTCCTTCCGACCTGACCGTTTACTCTCTCCCTGCCTTTGAAATAGTCTCTTAGCATGATTCTAAAACCGGATATGCTGCACTATATGCTACACAAAGTCTTTTAAGTACTTATTTTAGTTTTCTTAGACGATGATGACTATAATCTGTGAGTTTACCACAAATGGTCGGTAAATACCTGTTATTTACAGTTACTGTGTATATAGATAGCAGGAATGTCTGGGATAATAAAAAAAATCAAGTGGAAAATTTGAATTTTTTATGTACAGTTGAAGTCAGAATTATTAGCCCCCCTGAATTATTAGCCTCCAGTTTATATTTCTGTTTAACAGAGAGATTTTTTCAACACATTTTTAAACATAATAGTTTTAATAACTCATTTCTAATAACTGATTTATTTTATCTTTGCCATGATGACAGTCAATATTATTTGACTAGATATTTTTTAAGATACTAGTATTCAGCTTAAAGTGACATTTAAAGGCTTAATTATGTTAATTAGGTTAACTAGGCAGTTTAGGGTAATTAGGCAAGTTATTTTATAGCGATGGTTTGTTTTGTAGACTATAAAAAATATAGAGCTTAAATGGGCTAATATTATTGTCCTTAAATGCTTTTTTTTTTTTTTTTTTTTATGTAAAACTGCTTTTATTCTAGCCGGAATAAAATAAATAAGACTTTCTCCAGAAGAAAAAATATTATCAGACATACTGTGATTTTTTTTTTTGCTGTGTTAAACATAATTAAAAAAAAAAAAAAAAAAAAGCAAAGGGGGGCTAATAACTCTGACTTCAACTGTATACAGTTTATCCCCCCAGAGTGTCATATCATATCATCGTTTAATATTTTAATTATAATTTATGATATTTTACTGTATTCATTTGAGTTCTATTATTTATAGAACTATTTTAAACTTGTATATAGATTACAGTGCATTTGTAAAATAAAGTGCTATCTATCTATCTATCTATCTATCTATCTATCTGTCTGTCTGTCTGTCTGTCTGTCTGTGTCTGTCTGTCTGTCTGTCTGTCTATCTATCTATCTATCTATCTATCTATCTATCTATCTATCTATCTATCTATCTATCTATCTATCTATCTATCTATCTATCTATCTGTCCCCTCTATATACTTCTCTTCTCTTTCATCCATCCATCCATCCATCCATCCATCCATCCATCCATCCATCTGTCCCCTCTATATACTTCTCTTCCATCCATCCATCCATCCATCCATCCATCCATCCATCCATCCATCCATCCGTCCCTTCATCTGTCCCCTCTTTATACTTCTCTTCCATCCATCCATCCCTCCATCCATCCATCCATCCATCCATCCATCCATCCATCCATCCATCCATCCATTCATCTGTCCCCTCTTTATACTTCTCTTCTCTTTCATCCATCCATCCCTCCATCCATCCATCCATCCATCCATCCATCCATCCATCCATCCATCCATCTGTCCCCTCTATATACATCTCTTTTCTTTCACTAATCCATCCACCCACCCATCCATCCATCCATCCCCTTTATATATCTCCCTTATCTTTTATCCATCCATCCATCCATCCCCTCTATATACCTCTTTTATATGTCATCCATCCATCTGCTCATCTACTCATCTACTCATCCATCCATCCATCCATCCATTCATCCATCCATCCATCCATCCATATGTTCCCTCTATATACCTCTTTTATATTTCATCCATCAATCCATTAAGATAATTACATGAATATTTTTTTATTTAATCCCGTTGAATCTGAAGCGCAAATCAGTTATGTGTGTGTATGACGTGAACAGCCACTCTTTTGGTGTATGGAATGTGGATTATAATTAAAAGCTCTTTAGCATGAGGCTGGGCTTACACGTGTTTGATCTCATTTCAAACAAGCAAGGAAAAAAATCCCCTTTTCCACAATAAACTCTTCAACAGAGAAAGGCCTTGGACTCAGAGCTTAAGTTGTTGATGTGAATTGAGTTGAAAAGCAGGGAAGCCTTTGAGTCTTGTTGTGTCGGAACAAGCTTTGGCATTTTCTGTAGCAGATTTTCATAAACACAGAGGAGGTCGTTGAAACAAGGGTGAGATGTACATCTTTTTTGGCATCAAATTGTGCTTCCATGCCTTCTTGTCGGCTCTACACTGCTCACGGCACTGTCAGAAGGGCATCCTTCACATTCGTGGCACCTTTCCCTCCTTTCACCTGAGGGAATGTTGGGATTAACAAGGCTGGAGGAAAGTCACTATAGAGTGTCTGACAGCGGTTGGGCATTTCTGTGTAATTGGCATTGTTCCAGGTTCCACGTCTACATCCTTGCAGGCTGCAGTGCCTGTCCTCCCCACCGTGAAGGAGCTTGTTAAGGGTCTCGATTCGGTGTAGCTACAGAACGGGGGCAAGAAGCCAGCATCCCCCCCCCCCCCATTCCTTCCCTTTCCCCTCAACCTGCTTCGTGTGTTTTTGGAATACATTGGGAAAGAGGAAAACACGCCAAGACTCTCTGATTTCCACGGGGAACTCTTGAAACCTGAACGAGCGCGAGATCTCAACGTTTTCGACAGCTCGAGGAGTGGAAATCCCAGTTCTAATTGTGACTGAAACGCTGCTTGGCAAACTCCTCCTGCCAAAGCAGCGATCTGGGCACGATTAAATTTATGCCCATTATGCACATCAGCATGTTAGGAGGAAGTCCACGTGGTGAACATGATGTCCCGTCCCCTGAGAAACTTGACGAGGGGAAAGTTGGCATCCAGTGGTTGTCAGGCTGAAAGTCCTCAGACTGTTGCTCTTGAAACGTGTCATGAGGAGACATACTTCATTAACAGCGGGCTCTCTGATGGCCTGCTGGGGGCTTTGGTCCCACACTCGTTTTGAAGAATGTCAATTTGGCTGAAATGCGTCCAGCCGCTTCCAGTGCTCGGGTAGAGAGAAAAGAATGATGTGTGCTTGATTTCAAATGTCAACATGACATAAAAGCACTCCAGAAATGACGTTTGATGTTTGTTCAAACTACTTTATTAAATTGAGTTGAAACAACACAATTCTTGAGCATTTTTTGTAACAGCTAAATTGTTTTATGTTTAATCTGTGTGAGTTAAAATATTACCTGATATTAACAAGTCTTTAGTAAGTAATTTACTAACAGCTTGTTCATGATCTATTACTAATTTATTAGGTGAGCATGTTTTAAGCATGATCTTGCAACATGAACGTGGTTATGAATATATTAAAACGTGTTTGTCATAAAAATTCATAATAATGAAATTAAATACTAATTTGTGGATCTCCTTACTTCCGGGTGCAGTCATGCTGCCGTTGTGGCTAGTGTATTCTGGGAGATTTTCTTACCCCTTGGTTTCGAGTGTGGTCCTGAAAAATCTCCTTTCGAAGGGGTGCATACCACTTCCCCTTAGCTCTACGCCTTCAAGATAAAGAGAATTGGGAAAGGAGATTTTTCCCCCCTATTAATCTGGGGTCACCACAGCAGAATGAGCTACCAACTTATCCAGCATATGTTTTACATAGCGGATGCCCTTTCAGCTGCAACCCATCACTGGGAAACACCCATACACTTTCATTCACACACATACACTACGGACAATTTAAGCTTTCCCAATTCGCCTGTACCATGTCTTTGGACTTGTGGGGGAAACTGGAGCACCCGGAGGAAACCCCCGCGAACACGGGGAGAAAATGCAAACTCCACACAGAAACGCCAACTGAACCAGCTGAGGCTCAAACCAGCAACCTTCTTGCTGCGAGGCGGCAGCACTATGCCACTGCGTCGCCATATTCATGGCATCATTTATAAATATTTATATAACCTCAAACCTGCTGGACTTTTTCCTTTTTTATATAGAGCACAAGATTAGATAATACACCCCAATATATTGCAATTCACTTCAAAAATTAAAGAAGCTCTCAAAATTGAGACTCGTGTTTGTTAAAAACACCTGATATTAAAGTCAGTTGTTTTCATTAAAGGGACAGTTCACCAAAAAAAAAACCCTCACGATTTACTTTCCCTCAAGTGGTTCTAAACCTTTATGAGTTTCTTTCTTTATTTTGTTGAACACAAAAGAAGATATTTCGAAGAAAACCTGCAACCATGGACTTCCAAAGTAGGAAAAACAAATATCATGAAAGTCAATGGTTCCAAGTTTTTCAATATATTCAAAATATATTCTTTATTGTTCAACAATAAGTTTGGAACAAGTAAAGGGGGAGTAAATGATGACAAAATTTTTAGTTTTGGATAGACTAGTTCTTGAAGTTGAATTATTTTACCTTTTATTTTATTATCTTTCCTAAATTGTTGCTTCTTCATTTAATGAACTTGTTTTATTCGTAGGTAACTACCCGCGTCCTGCTAATTATGGCGGTGCACCGGGTGCCAACTACAGTGGCCCTGGTCCAGGCATGGGCAACAGTCTCGGCATGAATGCCAGCAGTCCAATGCATGGCCAGGGTCCAGGGCAACCCTGTGGCTCTATGACGACAGCTCGAGGTCCAGGACATGCGGCCGGTGGCAGGCCGTACCCAGCGGGCTCCAGCAGTGTTGCTCCAACCTCTCCCAACATGCCTCAGTCTGCTGGCCCTGGGATGGGTCCACCTCCACCCAACGTTGGCCGCAAACCCCACGAGAGTGGTCCTGCATCTGCCCAGCAGAACCTCGTCCCCTCGAGCCAGGCCAGGTAAATCAGAGCCTAAATTAAGTTCGATTAAATGCATTTCTTCAGCTTGACTAAAACAAGCAGGAACACTCCAGTTTTATTTTTTGTTTTGGGAAATAGGTTTTATTTACAGCTTTTCAAGACTTTAATAGAATAATTGAGTTTTACCAGTTTTTGTTCCATTCAGTCAAAGGCAGGCACTTTTATGGCAAGTTTCCACTGCGTGGTACGGTATGATACGGTATGGTTCGTCAAGCTTTTATAGTCGTTTCCATTGTCAAAAGGTACTAAAAAGCGAACCGTACTGTTCCACTGTTTGGGTACCCTCTGCAAAGGGTACCTAGCATGACAAAATAGTACCAAAAGGTGGAGCTAGACGTGCAGCTGAACACTATTGATTTACAGAGAAGCGTTACTAGCGTGTGCATAAGCAGGAGAATGAAAACAAATACATTACACCATAATACTATATACATATAATAACAAGCCACGGTTCGACCAAAGCTTAAACAGACTTTGTTGTTGCCTTGATGAACAGCCACAAAGCCAAGAAGAACAAAATCTGCCAGATCCGTCTAGAAGTGTGAGCGTTTCTCCAGAGAGCTCGCCACGTGTCTATATTTGTAATAACGAACTTCTTGAGCTGATGATAATAACGTGCTCCTGATTATTAAAGTGGTTCTGACATCTGATCCTTTCAGAAACGGACAAACGCTAGACTATATGTTGAATGTTGTTTTTATGCGTGTTGCATTTATTTATTTATTTAATATAATTGCAGATGTTACAGTTGGCTATTCCGCACTGTCATTAGCTATGTTTCCATCCACCTATTTTTATGCGCATTTTGCATATGCGCATGAAAAAACGGTTGATGGAAACGCCATGATGCGAATAAATTTCGAAAATGCGCATAAAAACATATGCCCATAACTGAGTAGGATAAACTTTTTATTCGATAAAAAAGATGCGCAACTACGATGGAAACACTTTTACCGCACAAACTCCATTATGCGCATTAAACAAAGTTATGTGATTTTGTTAAAAGAGATCATGTGATGATAAAAATGTGTATGAATGGACAAACCATCAGGCTAAGCACATTATAAAACATCTGCAATGTTGTTTCGTTCATTCTAAAACGCCTTACTGTTTAAGTATTAGTGTTATTATATTATTAATGACCTCCAGAATCAAGAGCGACTGTGCTCCGCATCTGACACCTTCAAACGCCACCATGTGTTTACTGCGTGTCAGGATTGCCTTCTGAGGCGCAAGTGATTTATTAGATGAAGAAAAGATTGACTGCTGCAAATTCCGTTTTTACTGTTGATATTTGGCGATGGAAGTGGCGATTTTGTTCGCTTTGACACGTTGGATGGAAACACTGCTTTATTCGCACGTCTTTTATACGATAATCCAATTTTTGAATGGAAACATAGCTAATGATCTGCAGTTCTAATGAAGTTATGTTCATTTAAAGGTCAGTAATGAACATTTATACACAAGTATTTATGTGTATAAAGCCTCCATGTTGTGAGAAGTGCTCATATGATATGTTAACGACTTGTATAGCCTAACATTTTGACATTAAGTTCCTCGAGCGAGAATGACGTCGACTGAAACTTTCTGTCGTACACCACGCCATTGTTACCCTTTTGGCAGTGGAAACGCAAGCCTGATAAAGGTGATCAGCACTGTGTACCATACTAGTCAGTGGAAACGATTAGCTTAGCTTAGCATAAATCATTAATTTGGATTAGACAATGAGCATCTCGTTTTAGGTGTTCATAATATCATCGCATCTGCTGCAGCCAAGGTAGTCCATCTGAACAATACACAAGGATTAATCACACTTTATTAAAATTAGTGCCTATAAAATTAATTCACATTATCAACATGTTAACTTTGGCAGCCCTGGTCTAAATACTTCACATTTAATCATACCTCTATAATATTATTCATATTTTTCTTTAGATATTTTTATTATGCTGCTGGTTTTTTACGTTATTTGTTGACGTTTACTACTTCGTAACCCCTATTATTACTGTTTTATCACAGCATAAACATTTATGATTCAGATCGGTCCGTGTTTATAACTCGCACCCTCGATACATCATTCTGCTTATCTCTCACTGGTCGGCCTCCACTTGACGGATTATTCAGTCACCAAATAATGCTGAAAGCAGCATTTGGGACGGGGCCAAAATGTGTAATTACTCGCTAAACTTTTGAGTTGTCATTTGTATTGAAAGTAAACCGACACCAAGGAGACTTTAATGCTCTTCCCCCTGCTTCAGGCCTCCTTTTGGCAGGTCCCCTGTTTACCCAGGCCTTTCTGGGCCTGGGGGGCGGCCGCCAGCTTCCTTCTCTCTCCCTCAGCCCCATCACCCTCACTACAGTTCTGGGCAAGGCCAAGGGCAGCCTCACGCTGAGCTGTATGGGTAGGTTTGAGCTCGGACCCCCGGCTGGACGGCTTTACTCTGCTTGAGTCTGCTCGCATCCGCTAGAAACCACACAAGCGCTCTGCACTAGCCTCTATTTTCTCCTTCATAAGGGCTCATATATAAGTGTGATTATATATACAGTGCATCCGGAAAGTATTGATTATAATTCTACACACAATACCCCATAATGACAGTGTAAAAAAAAAGTTTTTAAAATTGTTGTAAATGTATTAAAAATAAAAAGCTGAAAAATCAGATGTACATCAGTATTCACAGCCTTTGCGGTGAAGCTCTAAATTGAGCTCAGGTACATTCTGTCTCCACTGATCATTCTTGAGATGTTTCAGCAGCTTAATTGAGTTCACCTGTGGTAAATTCAGTTGACTGGACATGATTTGAAAAGGCATACACCTGTCTATATAAGGTCCCAGGGTTGACAGTGCATGTCAAAGCACAAACCAAGCATGAAGACAAAGGAATTGTCTGTAGACCTCTGAGACAGGACCGTCCGGGGAAATTCCTGCTGCTCTGAAAGTTCCAATGAGCACAGCGACCTCCATCATCTATAAGTGGAAGATGTTTGGAACCACCAGGACTCTTCCTAGAGCTGGCCGGCCATCTAAGCTGAGTGATCGGGGGAGAAAGGCCTTAGTCAGGGAGGTGATCAATAACCCGATGGTCACTCTGTCTAAGCTCCAGCGTTCTTCTGTGGAGAGAGGAGAACCTTACAGAAGGACAACCATCTGTGCAGCAGTCCACCAATCAGGCCTGTATGGTAGAGTGGCCAGACAGAAGCCACTCAACGCCTGGAATTTGCCAAAAGGCATCTAAAAGACTCTCAGACCATAAGAAACAAAACTCTCTGGTCTGATGAGACTAATATTGAACTCTTTGGAGTGAATGCCAGGCGTTACGTTTGGAGAAAAGCAGGTATCGCTCATCACCAGGCTAATACCATTCCTACAGTGAAGCATGGTGGTGACAGCGTCATTCTGTGGGGATGTTTTTCAACAGCAGGAACTGGAAGACTAATCAGGATAGAGGGAAAGACGAATGCAGCAATGTACAGAGACATACTGCATGAAAACCTGCTTCAGAGTGCTCTTGACCTCAGACTGGGGCAACGGTTCATCTTCCAGCAGGACAATGGACCAAAGCTCACCGCCAAAATACCAATGGAGTGGCTTCAAAACAAATCAGTGAATGTCCTTAAGTGGCCCAACCAGAGCCCAGACCCAAATCCTATTGAACACCTCTGGAGAGATCTGAAAATGGCTGTACACCATCGCTTTCCATCCAACCTGATAGAGCTTGAGTGGTACTGCGATAAGGAATGGGCACAAATTCCAAAAAGACAGGTGTGCCAAGCTTGTGGCATCATATTCAAAAAGACTTGAGGCTGTAATCGCTGCCAAACAAAGTATTGAGCAAAGGCTGTGAATACTGATGTACATCTGATTTTTTCAGCTTTTTTACTTGTAATAAATGTGCAACAATTTCAAAAACTCTTTTCTCACACTGTCATTATGGGGTATTGTGTGTAGAATGTTAAAAAAATGAATTTAACCTATATTTTTATAAGGCTGTAGCATAAAAAATGTGGAAAAAGTGAAGCACTATCAATACTTTCCGGATGCACTGTACAGTACAACAAAAAATAGATATCATGACAGGCCTATTTGTGCGTACTCATGGCTAGTGAATGAGACCCAATATTTTTTACTTATCTAAAGCAATGCTTCTTGATTTAAGCATTTTTTGATGATTTTTGGACTAATACAAGACAATAACTAAAAGTAAGAAAAGTGTAGATTTAGTGGATTGACCCAAATATGAAATAGTTCACCCCAAAACAAGGAAATGTACAGTCCTATTTAATCTTTGAGTCTTTCCAAATCTGTGTGCTCTTACTTTTATCTGTGGAACTTGAAAGGTGAATCTCGGCAACTGCTTTGTTGGCAACAACATTTTAATAATTAATAATTGGTGATGTTCGTAGTTGAAGCTGCGATTTGATATTTGAAAACATGTAAAAGCCATGACATCTAACCTTAGTAGACATGTAGATTCTACTACTGTCTCATTTATGAGAAGACAGACTACAAACAATGCAGGAATCTGTTTCTTTCCCCATGTGTATTAATCCTTTAACTCTCTCTGCGGTTTCTGCATGTGTTGCTTGGCAGCTGAAAGAAAGAAGAAATGAAAATAAGTGTACTAACAACTTACCATTGAACCCTTTACATTTTGTTTGTGTTTTTGTTCTTATGTGTTTTTTTCGTCCATAGGCCAGCCGGGTATCAAGGTGGCTCCCACATGCTTGGAATGGGTCCCGGAGGGCCTTACAGCCTTCCACCAAGCAATAGCTCTGCCAGGATGACCCCTCAAGGTCCCTCTTACAACACAATGCCCACAGGTAGGATTTAAAATACAATATTTAAAAGGGTCCTATTATACCTTTTTTATATGTAATTTATTTTTTTGTGTAATGTTGCTTTTAAAGCATACATAAAAAACAAAAAAACAGTGTGTAGTCGATGTAGTTTCTCGAACTCTGTCGGAAATCTGTAGTCTGAACCACATTAGTTAAAATGCAAAGCTTGTGGAGTAACAACTTCTTTAGATAAAGAAATTAAATCTTTATATACTAAAGTACTAAATCTTGATATGATTGTTTTTTATATATATATAGATTTTTATATTTTTATTTTATTATTTTTAATTCAATCTTAGTTTATAACTGCATCTGCAAATACTGTGTTCTTGACTTAAAACCACTTTTATAATGTGCTTAATAATTGTACTTTCATAATTTGTGACTTGATTTTTCATTACTGCATCATTTTTACAAATTAAATTAATATTTACGAGTAGTTGGATGTTTTTAAGATCATTTAGAATGAGTTAGTAAATAATTAATGAACTATTAAAATTGATGTTTATATATCTTATTATTATTATACTAATGGACACTATGTATGTTAATAAATGCTTTATTAACTAAACTTCTTGCTGTTTTGTGACCTTATCTAAAGTAAGAACTATTTATGCTTTAGAAATCCCTTATTAATGATAATTAAAGGCTTGGTATCATGTTAACAATAATCTTCAAAAGTATCTGGATGCAGCCTTTATGATGCAAGCTGAGACTGCATCACTCAGCGATGCAATGTCAGACACAATGCACTCAAATGGAGCTAGTGACGTCACTGTGATGGGAAGGGTTAGGGGTGGGGTTAGGCGAGCCCTATAAAAAGCATTGGATGCAGCCCAGATTGCACTGCACCAGGTCTGCAGCCAGACCCCTCTCCTAATGTTTGCAATCTTATCTACAAAGTAAAATTACTGTAAGGTTTAAACATTGCTGAATAACAGGGGTGTCAAAATACAACATAAAACTGGATAAAACAACAGTAATATATATTAATTTAAGAATATAATAAAAAACAATCTTTAAACTGTACAGTAATTTTATTTTAGTTAAGATTGCAAAGATTTATTTTTCGTTCGTTTCAATTGTGGGTCTTCAAATGAATAGAAATTAACAATGCAGTTTGTGTATTTTTTTCCTGGGGTCCGTTCTTGGTACGTGGATTGCTCAATTATGTGGATTTTGACAATTTGACACGATCTAGGATCGGTACGTTCTTCAAAATTCATCGGAGAGTTGTTGTCATAGCAACAGTTCTGGTAGCTCAAACCTGCTTGGGAGCAGGCTCATTTCATATAACCAGGATTAGATCAAGGGCCTCATGTATCAACGCAACGTATGCACAATAACTTTATGTATGCTAGAGCTGCACAATTAATCGCTATAAGATCACGATCTCGATTCGACCCCCTAGACGATCTTAATCCAGCATTTGTACGATTCTGTCAGTCATATTTTCAAGTTCAGGAGAGAAGAAAAGGCGGCTGCACGAGTCTTTTCATTGTTTCACACACGTTGCTCAGTGACATTGACACCTCCAAATGATGTTGAATGAGTCACATACTGTATTTATAAGGTATAATTCACCTAAAAATGTCATTTTTGTCTTCATATAATGATGTTTTCGTGATCGGGAAATCACACGTGACATGAGCTGCTGGCCATGAGCTGTTATCACAGAGAGGGCGCTCGCACGCTCTACTTAGTGATAGACGTGCGCTCGTCTACTTCAGTGAACAGAACCTGCATATGTTGCGAGTAACAGGTAATACAGTTGTAAATAATATTCAGTTTGTGGCACAGAGTGATCGTTTGGGAGCCGCGCGCGAAGTATGTACAAGCACTTAGCAGTCAAAATGAAACCGAAAGTGTGCACTTTATTAAATGATCATATCGCATTTTAGAGTTATGATTACGACAAGCATTTGATTAGATTTTTCTTTCATAGCGAAAACACAGTTGTGCATGAAAATAAATGTTTACAATGTCAGTATAACTACTCTAGCCTAAATATTGTTGAATATAATCTGATAATGGCAAATGTCTGATTTTACCAGTGAATAAAACTGTCTAATATGACAGATTACAAGCATATATCTCAAACATAACATTTCAACATCAGAATTATTATAAGTAGAATAGAATTATTTATAGAAGCCAGTAGACCCACACATAATATTATTATCGATGTTGTGCCATATGTTTGTCTTTACCTTTATTTTACATCTACAGAATCGTGAGAAAATCGTGATCTTTATTTTAAGCAAAAAAATCGCAATTCTCATTTTAGCCAGAATCGTGCAGCTCTAGCGTACGCCAGATTTCACGCTCACGTTTGGATTTACTAACGATGAAATGAACGTGAGAATGTGCGTTGGTCCACGCCAACTTCATGGAAAATCAGAACAGAATCGCCAAACTATGTTTGTCACGATGAAACTTGCGATCTTAGTTAGCTGACATTGGTAATGCACCCCTGATTGAGTAAAATACCATATAGTAATGATATTATAACGGTATTTTTAAAATCTAAAATTGCATTCAGAAAGTGTGAGATTATAGATTTTGCAACATTTATTGAGAAAAAAAGTGCTTAATGCGGTTCAGCTTGAGATCAGTTACAGTATGCAGTGTCTTTGTTTGGAGGCTGTTGATGAGATGTTGTGCACATCTCTGGATGGTGCAGGACTAAGGGTCTGAATCTCCTGTAGGGCCCATGACAGGCTCAGGGGACACCATGATGCCCACCGATCCCAAACAGAGAGCTGAGCACAAGGAGGAGGGCAGCACACCCGCCACAGAGCCCCCTAAGCCAAAGGTGTGTATCTTTTTTCTCTCTAACCCATTGAGCATGTCTAGAAGCCCACAGAAATGCCTGACAACAGGAACACTATGGTTAAACCCTCTCAACAGTCTATGCAGGAGCTCTTTTTACTTTCGCCTTGCTAATATAAGCTCAGACGCTTGCTCTGACACTTTGTACTAACACATTGGTTTTATCTCCAGCTTTACATCATTTATTTTAAAATCTTCTGTTTTATTGCGAAGTATTGACACTTTCATTGTTGACAGACACATTTCATTTGTGTTGCAGTTTGTAAAGACATGTTGCGAGAAGAATAAAAAAATAAAACACCTTAATTATAGAGTTTAATAACTGGTTATAGCTTAATAACTATAATGATAGCCATTACTAAAATACACCAAATCTAGCAGCAAAATTAGCTTCCAGCACAGGCATGTTTGACCTCAAACGGCAGGTTATAACTCTGAAACTGTCTCTTTATTTCATTATATTAAGTAATATTTGATAAATACATCAAAAATAGATGTTACTTCTTTGGGTTATTTTAACTGGAATCCTTTTATCAGGTTTATAAATCTACATCACTCCATCAAAGTACATAAAACATCAGACTAAGTCATTATCTTTCACCAAGACATTGTCAAAATAATTTAGAGCTGGATCGCAAAACAAACATGCATTATGGGAGATGTAGCATATGGTTAATATACGATATAAAGCATTATGGACTTTTATTATAACACCAAATGCGCGCTAGATTATTCGCAGGATGTCTTTCGAACCACGTGAAATTTTAACTTGAATATCTTGATCTTGCGCAAAAACCCTCTGCTTTTAAAGAGATTTGTTCGCTTTACTTAAAATGGAGAATAAACACATTGCCTTCGAATTATTATGTAAAATAATTATGTGTATAGTTACAAAAATTAAGTTAGGTCAACTTAACTGTTTCAAGTTACAACGGATTTACTCACTGTGGAGAGGTAAGCATGATCGAACACCCAATGAAGGGGGAGAGCATGCTCAGAGCCCGGCGGCTAATCAGCTGGCCGATCATAAAAATAAACAACACCTGTTTATTCTAGTGATTGGGCCGGAGAGACACCCAGGACTCGAGAGATGAAGGAATCAAATCTTTTTCCGGCTCTAGATGCATATGATTGGCTTCTGTATTTCACGTGATGAACGAATGACTCAAACCAAGGACTCAAGAGATGAAGGAATCAAATCTTTTTCCGGCTCTAGATGCATATGATTAGCTTCTGTCTTTCACGTGATGAACGACTGACTCAAACCAAGGACTCGAGAGATGAAGGAATCAGATCTTTTTCCCGCTCTAGATGCATATGAGTGGCTTCTGTCTTTCACATGATCAACGAATGACTCAAACCAAGGACTCAAGAGATGAAGGAATCAAATCTTTTTCCGGCTCTAGATGCATATGATTAGCTTCTGTCTTTCACGTGATGAACGACTGACTCAAACCAAGGACTCGAGAGATGAAGGAATCAAATCTTTTTCCGGCTCTAGATGCATATGATTGGCTTCTGTATTTCACGTGATGAACGAATGACTCAAACCAAGGACTCGAGAGATGGAGTCAAATCTTTTTCCGGCTCTGACTGCATATGATTGGCTTCTGTCTTTCACGTGATCAACGAATGACTCAAACCAAGGACTCGAGAGATGAAGGAATCAAATGTTTTTCCGGCTCTGACTGCATATGATTGGCTTCTGTATTTCACATGATGAACGAATGACTCAAACCAAGGACTCGAGAGATGAAGGAATCAAATCTTTTTCCAGCTCTGACTGCATATGATTAGCTTCTGTCTTTCACATGATCAACGAATGACTCAAAAAAAGGACTCGAGAGATGAAGGAATCAAATCTTTTTCCGGCTCTGACTGCATATGATTGGCTTCTGTCTTTCACGTGATGAACGAATGACTCAAACCCGATAGAAGAATCGAAAAATGAACTACTCTTCTCCTCCACCTGGAAAAATGTGCACATGTGCGAATGAATGAAACACTACCTGAGAGAACTCTTTAGATTTGGATAAAAGGAATGAATCGTTTAAGAACGACCCATCACTAGTGTGAATCCCTTGCTTTCATCGGCCACACTCAATGATATGAAGGGCTGGATTTACCCAGCGGGCCTTGATTTTGACAAGTGCACAAGAGTATTGAAATTAAATCAGATTTCCTTTATGAAGAATCCGAATCAGGTCGGAGCCAATATTTTCATCCTACTGCGGGCAGTTTTTCCTTCGTTCGTCATTTCCTCATCCTAAATTGAATGCCGAAGATATGTTGTTCTGGAAGAGTGTTCCAATTCCATGTGTTATTCAATAAGCAAAGATTCTCTCGTGTGCCCTAATGAGCACTCATGTTCAAGCTCTAGAAGACCTCATTTCTCCATTTCCTCAGTCATTGCCTGTACTTTCATCAGAGCTTCATTCATTGTGTCATTAAGTTTTCGTTTGATTCGTAAGTTTTCAAGCTTTCGTTTGATTGGCTGAGATATCGTGCACTAGCGGAACGTTCTCTCTGAACACCATTCTTTTTGTTTCATCTGTAATTCGACGTGCGGTTTTGTCCCTTTGCTGATTAGAGGGAAGTAGATCTGTCGCTTTAAATACATCTCAAAGTATCCCCCTGTTTTCTTGCTGGTTCACTATAACCTTATTTGTTTCGTTACCTCATGGCATCAGTCCAAAGAGGAGTACGACTTTTTAATTTAACGCCTAGAAAACATCACAACAAACCGAAGTGCCTTCAAGCATTGACCTTTGCGTTTATGTCCAGCCGGCTGCAGGACAACCAGTGTGTTGCTCTCCCTGTTTCTGCTGAAATTCCTGTATATGTGCGTGTGTAACAAGTACAGGTCTTGACATATAGCACAGAGCTACTTGAAAAGCTGGATTGATCTTTCTATAGTACAGCTCAGAGTGCTGCTACCTCCAGCCAGAGCTCAAAGAGTGTGGCAGGAACAATTTGCACTGTTATACACTACCATGGCCAGCTTTTTGCCAAACTTTCTGAACACTTCTCATCTAAAGAACAAGTCTACTTCGATTGGAGGTTTTTAGGACTCTGCAGGAGCATGTTTTTTTACCTATTGAGGATCAAGCTATTCTTTTCCATTGACAGGGTGCCAGTACTTGTGCACATTTCTACTATCAACGGAAATACGAATAAAAAAAATAGTTGCTGGACTGGATTGGCATCCTAAACGTGCTGATCTTGAAGAGTGAGCAGTTTTAAATACCTGGAGGTCCACATCAGTGAGGACCTCACCTGGACACTGAACTCACCCAGCTGGTCAAGAAAGCACAACAGCGGCTGTACTTCTTAAGGAAGCTAAGGAAACTCGGTCTGTCATCTAAGATCTTCAGCAACTTTTACAGCTGTGTGGTTGAGAGCATCCTGACCAACTGCATTACTGTATAGTACTGAAAAGGACTGCAAACGTCTGCAGAGAGTGGTGAGGACTGCAGAGAAGATTATCAGGTCCCCACTGCCTTCTCTGCAGACTATCTACCATCACAGAGTCCACAAGAGAACTGCCTCCATCCTGAAAGACCCCACTCACCCACAACACGGATTATTCACACTCCTACCCTCAGGGCGGAGGTATAGGAGTGTGAGATGCAGGACTGCCAGACTCAAGAACTCTTTCTTCCCATCAGCCATCAGACTTCTAAACAGATAACCAACGTACATAACAGTCTCTTTTTCTGCTCAGTACAACACTACATACTCCATCCCATTTTGCACTATTTTATTTATTTATTTATTTTTTGCACATAATTCAATTGCACTAGGCACTTTTTGCATAATAAGCACAATAAAAAAAATAAAAAATAAATAAATAAATAAAAACACTGTGCATTGTTTGCATCTGTTTCATTACTCAAATCAGGTTAAAATATTGTTTACTTTCATAGATATTTATATACTTACATTTTATAATCATACTTCAGTCACTTCTGTGTATATATGTGTATTTATGTGTATGTTGTGTATGACTTCACTGTGGACGGCAAAGTAAGAATCTCATTGTACAGGGAGACCTGTTTCCTTACTGTGCACATGACAATAAACAGTTGAATTGAATTGAATTGAATTGAATTGAATTGAAGCAAATATCCCTACCAAGTACAGTTTTCCGAACAACAGACTAATTAAGGACTATTTCCTTAAAATTCTTTATTTTTTTGTGAAGAAAAAGTACATACTGTACTTTTAAAGTGTATCAGTAGAGTATGCGAGCTTCAGCGCATACTACTTTCTCATTAACGAACCGTTCTGTTGCTTAGTTACATGCCCTGTCAATCATCTTGTCACATCATCCAAGTTTCTTTCACATTTATTCTCTGACCATATTGGAGATGCAGCAGCAGGTTAATCTGCCATCCGTGAGGCTTTCATGCAGAGAAATCTCCTCAGGTGTTGGCATAATTATGCATTCAGAAGTTAATGGCCAAACACATCTTTATAAAAGTTCACATTGATATTGCAGATGAAATATATTTTCCAGTAGGTTAGGTGTTTATTAACAGCCATTCAAACATCTTGACCAAAGCCTCTCCACTTAACTGTTAAGCCTGTTCATACTTTATGCTACAGCTCAGCCTATGCATGGAAGCATAGCCCTCGTCATGGCCGTCACGGATCTCCTAAAAAATGTAACTACACAGCGCAAGGCTCTTAGATTGTTTGGCTTGGTGGCGCTGACAAGTATGGGCGGGACCGAGAGCCGCGCAAGCCAGATGGAGCGATTGTTTTCAAATGTGGAGTCCCGTGAAGGAGCTCCGAATGGAAAGTTTTGTTTTGTGTTTACCTCATGGTAAAAGTTGTTACTCGTCCGTCAGTTCCTGCCTCAAAGTAAGTGAGTTTGAGCCACTTGTACATTAAGGAAGCGTTTAGAAAAAACAAAACACTAGCGAAGAAACTCGTCACAGAGGAACATAAACACCTACTGCCAACTAGCGTTTTGGAAGTGTTATTGCAGAGCAGCAGAAACAGCGCGCAGAAGTATGAATGCACAGCTATGTGCGTTGCATGCACCGTGGGTCACACCGATCACTTGATGCAAAAGTGTAAACCAGGCTTTATACTTTTGTGCGCTGTTTCTGTTGCTCTGCAATAACACTTGCAAATGGATAGCTGGCAGTAGGTGTTTATGTTCGCCTGTGTTGAGTTTCTTTGCTGGTCTTTGGTTTCTTCTGAATGCTACATTAATGAACAAGTGGCTCAAACTAGCTCATTTTGAGGCTGAAATCGGCGGATGTGCAAGAACTTTAATCATAAGGTAAACACAAAACAACAGTCTCCATCTGGAGCTCCTTCAGGGGACTCCACACTTGTAAACACTCGCTGAATCGGAAGGAGCTCCACTCCAAACTCGGAAACGAAGGGTTTGAATTTAATTAAAGGGCCATGAAACCCCCTCGTTTCAGCAGGGTGTTTTCACACCTCTACTTTGGAAAAAGTCAGAAAAGTGGGCGTGTCCAGCTCTGTTTAGCGGGTAGTGTCGGAGGAAGAATTATTCCGGAGTTATTCCGGAGTTATAAGAGTTATTCCGGTCACAAAATGCGGTAAAAACCCTACACGAGGTTAAAGTTTGGTTGTAGTGCTAACATGTTTGCACTCGGTGCAATGGTTAACTTAGTTCGATACGAACAAACTGAATAAACAAAGAGCACTGGTCGCTCACTTACCAAATCTGTAGAGACAGGACAATCACCAGCAACTAGAGCCGCGTCTTTATGAAGAGAAGACTACAAGCGAATCCGGATCTCAGCGTTTGCAGATGAGAACAGCTCTCAGGTAAACAATGTTCCTCCTTAGACACGTAAGTTATTGTTGTCGAGCGTCGCGTACACTGTTAATCCACACGTGAGACTGAGCTCTCACAGAGAGAAAATGAAAACGAAACTTAACTGCAGCAAACTATAAAAGCAACACTTCACGCTTGTTTTGCCAACACAACGTGGTGTGAGTGTCGTAAGCACTGTGACAGTAATGAATATTAATGAAGTTGCACAATAGAGCGCGCTGATTGGTTTGATTCAAGCCTTACTCATGCATTAATGCAGCACACTGTGAGACGTAATAAGACACACTCTGGCACAGACGTCCAGTCTGCACGCTGGAATACACGCTATTATGTCATGACCGCAGCTTCAAAAATTAGTTTCAAACCGGAAGTACGAATTTGCTTGAAATAACCCAAAAACAACCAATTTACACTCTTTAGTGAAATATAGGTGTCTTAATAGTGTTTTTAGCAGTGTGGGACACATATACAACTGTCAACAGCTCAAAAAATGTGTTTTAGTGTTTCGTGACCCTTTAAAGATTGCCAAAACAAACCTGCACAGATTAATTGTTCACCTAAAGAACAACAAAATGCCCTAGCAAAATAGTGTGACATTGTGGTTTCTCACCATTAAATGTGTGTGGTTTCTTCTTGTTTCCTTTTGTGTTCTCCATCACAGGACAACTACGGTTCTCAGTGTGTGTCCCAGCCTCCAACCCCGTCCCCTCTGTCCCCTAGCCCAGCTAGTCTGTCCTCTTATCAGGGGGACGACAGCGATAGCATTAGCAGCCCTGCCTGGCCAAAGAACCCCAGCAGCCCTGTAAGTGCCTCCTGCCCTTTTACCATCATCTCTTTGTTTTCCTGCTTCTTCTATGGTTTATAGGTCTCCTGTTTGATCCAGTTTCGACCACAGATATGATTTAATGAGACTCATTATGTAATTGAGGTGGCTACCACCAGGTGGTTATCCTGTCCCCAGTTTCTTTTCAGTAATATCCAGTGTTGGAGAAGCTATTTTAAAACTGTCACTCACTGCGCGCCTACAGTCTACTGTACTACTCAAAACATGAGAAATGTGAGTTTTTGTCACAAATTTGAGTCCAAATGTTTGGAATATTAGGCAGTGTGGCTTTGGTGTCATTTAATTGTGGTTGTGACTACTGGCATATTGTAGTAACATGTAAGTGTCCAATAATTCTCATAACAGCATAAAAATATATTCAATTTATAAAATCAGGGCTCGAAATTAACCGTTTTTCTTGGTAGCACCAGTGCTCCTAACTTCAAAAATGTAGGCGCACCAGACAAAATTTAGTCGCATCCACGAATTATGAGCACTGTTACTACAAGTTTTAAATTACCCGATTTATTGCATTTGAAATCAACTCTAATTAAAACGAACAAATAAACAAAAATCTGCATGCGCTCACCGGCCCTGCACACACTGCTTCACGTGAATGAGATGAACTGAATTAATAATAACTGTGCTGTTCTCACGGGTGGTGTCTGATATTGCACAGATGATATTGACATATAACATGTTATTCGCATACGTCATCTTAATAGTAATATAAGCTGCAATATTAGACTCATCTCAGTGAATGCATGCTCTTTAGCGATAGTGAACGCAGTGTCAGTCGCACGACCAAGGTTATTATAGTTAACGAAAACGAACGAAAAAACGGAAACTAAAATGTAAAATAATTGTCGTTAACTGAAATAAAAATGAGAGTTTAAAAAAAAAAACTAGGACTAACTGAAAGTGTATTGTGTACCTACAAAACTAACTGAAAATAACTATAATTATAGCAAAAACCTCCTTCGTTTTCGTCTTTTTAAATGTATTTAATGCCTAATCTTACTGTAAGCCTTTTAGAAGTCAAACTATTTCTTCCGCGCTGCAGGTGTTTGACCCTTTCGCACCTCAGAGTCTGTACTCCTGCAGCCAGTGGCCGGATCGAGCCGGCTCTCCTCCAGCCATCCTCGCTGTTGCTCCCGTGACAAAAACAACAAGTGGACATGACAGCAGAACAGTGACAGCATTAAATACAGAGACTTAAAATGATTACTTTAACACATTTGTGCCCAATAATGGGTTTTATTTCTGTAGCGCGATCGCGAACGTATCTTTTTAACCGGATCTTTTAAGTGAACCGGTTGAACTAGTTCACCAAATCGAACTGAATCATTTGAAACAATTCGCGTCTCCTGTAAGCACTTAGCCACAAACTACTTACTTTTTTAACAAGACTAATAACCCCTTTCGACTTAATATAATTCAATATATACTCTCACTCAGTTATTAAAACAGCAACGTTACACCGAGATCAAATTGAGAAGTGGTGAACCGATAATACGGCACATGCGGGATTCAGTGAAACAAACACAAACAGTACATGACAGCCTGCTGTGACTGAACTAAGCTTGAACAACTGCACCGTGGGTTAACCGAGGGATTAAATGAGAGGATCTGGTGAAAAACGTAAGTTTATGTCAACAGAGAATCGTAATGGAATTTAAATCAGTGAATCATGCTTGAGTTGGGTTGCAAAACTTTACTGTAAGACATTTTTCAGATCCTGGTGATGTTTTATCTGACTGAAATGACTATTGCGGACTACGTCATTTTGCCATGTTCAGTACAAACATCCGCGGTAAATATCTGAACCTCCCACCGCGGCTTTGTCTAACCTAAGAAGCAGCCTTGCACACATATTTTACTTAAGGCTGCTGTTGTGGGCTGTTATATTTGAGTTTGAGGATGGGTATGGTAGTGGTAGATGAAAGTGTTCATGTATCCTCTAAATGCAAGTTTCAAAAAATGTATGGTTGAGTTTTTATTATAAAATGTTTATTCTGTTGATTTTGAATCTTGCACCTACAAATGTCCTTATTTAAAAAAGTAAAACTAATACTCAAAGTACTAAAAACTAAAATAAAACTAAACAATTTTAAAATATAGAAACAAATAAAAACTAGTAGATCTGCCTCTAAAAACGAATAAAACCGAACCGAATTTGAAAACAAAAAGTCAAAACGAAATAAAAACTAAAACTAATGAAAAGTCCCAAACGATTATAACCTTGCGCACGACTGACAGCATCGTGATGATTAAATGAAGGATTGAATAACGTTAGAACATCTCGTGCTTAAAATGTTTAGATTCAGTGGCAAACACTGTTACCTGAAAACTCCGTCCCACCGGCTTTACGGTGAATGCTTTAGTCATTTTCATAGCAGATTTTAAACACTGGAAGTCTTTTATCCACTCTTCGAAAAGTGTAAATGCTGGATTGACATTCATTACATGATCACTGATCAGATGAAATGGGTCCAAATCAGCAACTAAACTTTATTTGCAGAAGAAACTGTCAGAATGGGACATATTGAGCAATGTAGAAACAATTTACACTTAGGGTGCTTTCACACCTACACTTTTGTTTCGGAACGTGTCTCGTTTTCCCAGTTAGCGCGGTTCGTTTGGCATATGTGAACAGGGCAATCGCACTCTGTTCCGTGCCAAAGTAATCGCTTCGAGATCGCTTGAATGAGGTGGTCTCGGCTCAATTGAAACGAACCCTGGAGCAGTTCGATTGCAGTGAGAAAGCGATCCGATCCGAGCGTGGTTATATTACAGTGTTTTATGGATATGTAATAGGCTTACGGCTATATGAAGAGAGAATTATGAGTATGGCGGGAAGTTTCGCGAGTCTCTGGATGCCCGCAAATGAGTGATGATCTCCCGGTAATCTCGCGTCTCCCTCCTGGTCCTCAAATAGGCATCGTCACGCACCCTTCTCACCCCTCCCCACCGCGTCTCTCCTCAGACACGTCGCGCGCACCCTGTAAATCACCACCAAACCACCACCTCCCCTGACAGCTTAGTGGGACGCTGCAAAATAAACCCTGACACTCTGACCAATGTGAGGAGAGTTTACTCGCACGTGACTTGTTTTAGCTCTTTGTTCCAATTAGAAACTTTGCAGTGTGAAAGCGAACCGCTCCAAGAGCAAAGAGCAACAATGTAACAATATTAATCTCTGTTTCGGAACAACTGAATCGATTCACAGGTGTGAAAGCACCCTTAGTATAAAGAATGATGGTTTGACAGTATGTGTGCGGGGTGTGTCTGTGGCCATATATCTCACTCTCTTCTGTATCCATCTAACCATCCACCCCAGAAGCACAGCACAGTGAACATGACGAATGAGAAGATAACGCGGCTGTACGACATGGGCTGTGAGCCTGAGAGGAGGGCATGGGTGGACCGCTACATCGCCTTTATGGAGGAGAGGGGCACGCCGGTCCCTAACCTGCCTTCAGTGGGCAAGAAGCCGCTGGATCTGTGCCGCCTCTACCTCTGCGTTCGTGAAATCGGAGGCTTGGCTATGGTGAGTAAAGTTGGCAGGGCTCAGCTCGTCTGCGCTGTGAGAGCAGATGTGTGTTCGTGCTGAGGATTTAAAGAAGCAGAGCTTTGAAACACATGTTAAAGAGCGCAAAACCTCTGATGTCCTTCTACGTATGTGCCTCAGCCATCAATCACAGACATCAAAGAAACTGGAGTTCACTAAGAATACATTGTGCCTGCTTATGGTGCTATCTATTTCTACATGCTTTGGGTTGTTTTAGCACCCCTATAGTAAGTATATTACCACTTGTGTAATTAAACCACAATAAAGAGATTAAAATAAAGAGTATTGTATATTAACAGCAATCAGTTGTTACATTTACAGTTTTCTAACATAATTTACTATTATGTATCAACCAGTTAAACTCTGCGGACCTGGTACCGGGTCCGTGGCGTCATCGACTTTCGCTTAAAGATTTAAAGGGCTAGCATTGCACCAGACCTCCGTAAGTGGTTTCGTATGAAAGTGTAGAATCTATATTTTATGCACATATGCATCACTTTGGTTTTTATTCTACTGTACAAAAGTTATTTACACTCAAATACACAGTAATTTGGATCCCCGAGCTGGGTATTGTTCATTTTCATATTTTTCATATGGTTCATATATGACACATGTACAAGTTATAGCTCAAATGAAAGCTCTTGCCGGTGCTCATACGGTTCTAGCATTCTTTTTACTGAATTATATTCACATATCAAACAGTTGTTGAATGAATCACGGTGTTTCCATGGAGCAGAAGTGTAAACAATACATTTATGATCAATAAGCAGCCCCAGATAGCACAGACAGCTGTCATCTCTTACCTTATGCTGTGCACTTCAGGGCCATTCTCCTCTGTTTTTGAGGTGATGTGCATAAGTAATCCTTTTATATGTCTGACGTGGTCCAAACACAGTGAATTATGTTTGATCAAACAAAATAGTGAAATATGAAAACAATGATCGCTCCCTGTGGCTTGTATAGCACCTCTCATCAGTTGGAATACAACAACTTTTGCATAGATTATGGTGGAGACATTTTTCTTTTTTCCTAGTATTATAGACATGTGCAGGAACCAGCTAAATTAATTACAGCACGCTAGACCACACAGAACCTAAAAGGTACACTTTCAAATTTGAGTTTATAAAAAAATGCAAAAAGCGCCTCTTTTTTAGGTGTTTATTATAACACAGACGACATATACAGATATTTTAAACACTTTCAATAGTGTTTTATAAAAATTCAAAGTGAATTATGATACCATGATACCAAATTTTTGCATTTACACCTCTGCATGTGGATTTGGGAAGCTTTTATATTTGGGTAGGCAAAATCCAGGCGGAAATCCCAAAATAGCAGCAGAGTTGAACTGGTTAAATTAGGGCTACACTAAAACATTCAGCTGAACTTTCACTTCTCTAGCTGTAGCTTTGAGGTTAGCAAATGCATTTATTTGGTACAAAAGAAGTTGCGAAAAGATCAAATAATAACTAGAAGACCCCCCGCAGTATAACCAAAGACCCCCCCTGTTAAAGACCACTGCTTTAAACAAAGCCTTTGTTTACCTCCAGCTTTCTGTGGGCGGTAACAGCGCAATGCTAATTATTTCTAGCTAACAGCGATGTTGTTTGTGAATAACGCACATTCTATAATGAGGCTCATTTGCATAGAAAAGAGGTATGTTTATTTAAAAAACACACAAACGCAATGGATTGCTTTTAGAAGTATGTAGCACCTGGTTATGCTAAAGTGTGAGTCGATCAGTCATAGGATGAGATGGAGGATTTGATTGTTTGTGGTGTGGTTTTTGATTGAGCATCTCTCCTCAAACAGGTAAATAAGAACAAGAAATGGAGAGAGCTGTCCACCCACTTGAATGTGGGGACGTCCAGCAGCTCGGCCAGCTCCCTTAAGAAACAGTATATCCAATACCTGTTTGCCTACGAGTGCAAGGTGGAGCGCGGAGAAGAACCTCCACCTGATGCGTTCGCTATGGGCGATGGCAAGAAGCAGCAACAGCAAGCCAAGATCCAGCCACCATCGCCTGGTAAAACATTTTTTCAATATCATTTTAGACAGAACACACAACTTTATATTAAAAACATAGTTTACCCCAAAATTAAAATGCATTTACCTCTTCAGCCAATTCAAGCTGTTTGGAGGGCAAAACAAGAATAACTACGAGTTGTACATCATTCATGGAGCTTTACTTTTTTTTATATTATATAGCTAAAAAAAATGCTAATTTGTCAGTTTCTGTCTTTGTTGATATTAGTAGAAAAATTTGTGGTATAATATATATATATATATATATATATGTGTGTGTGTGTCTATGTATGTGTATATATATATATATATATATATATATATATATATATATATATATATATATATATATATATGTTAAGGGTGAAACGATACCCGTATTTGTATTGAACCGTTCGGTACGTGACTTTCGGTTCTTTACGGATTAGAAACCGAACGACTAACATCTGAAAAGGTAAAGGAGAATAAGTACAAAATATAATGTTTTCAGTGCAACAATGCTCAACATGGCATCCCAAATGACGTGGCCGACAACATGCTGCCTTCCCGCTGTCATGTTAAACAGTTGATCATCACTTTTGAACTCAGAATATCACTTTATTAAAGCATGCGCTCATTAGCAATATTGCTGGCTTCTGTGTCAGTCTGCTCGTGCTGGCTCCGCCCCTGGACCCGACACAAAACAGCCAATGTCAATAGCCTGTTCACATATCAACACACCCGCCCACCTCCAAACACTACTCCAGGCACGCGCTACACTAGCTCGCAAAATGGCGAGTAATGTTAATGTAATCCCAGACATCCCAAGTCTCCCGGAAGTTTCGGGAGACTCCTGGATGCCTGCAAACGAATGACAATCTTCCGGAAATCGCACATCTCGCATAACTCACCCCTGCTGCTCAGGTACATCGCACGCACACGCCTCCACCGCTCTTCAGATACGTCGCGCACCATCACCACTACCAAATGAGTGGTGGAAAAAAAAAACATCTAAGAGACCTTAATCAGTAGTGGAAATTTCGGGTTTTAAGAAAGTGTTAAATGTAATAGAGCCCCTTTACATTATTCCTTCAGTCAGATAATTCCTGCTTTCAGATCCACTGAAATGGCAGGTGATCAAATCAAGCAGGTGATCAAATCAAGCAGGTAAACAAATCAAGCAGATCTGTGCTGTCTGAGGAAAAGGTGGACACTCATCTTTCTGAAAAGAAAAAAATACTTAAAAATTTATTGAAACCGAGTTCCATATAAAAACTAAATTGTTCTTTTCTTTTTATTTAAGTACTACAATTTTATATTTGATTTTTTATAAGCAGCATTTTGGTTTTGAGTATAAAGAAGGATTTGTTTTATTTGCTGCTAAGCAGAAACTCCAGAAGTATAGCTCTATCACTGTTTAAAGTAAAAGAAAAAAGAAAACAGGATCAAACTTTTATGATGTTAGTTTTAACACATTAAAAAATTTAAATCAGAAAAATCCTCTGAGTTTTTTTTTTTTTGCTGTATCGAAAACGTACCGAACCGTGACACCACTGTGTCGTATCGAACCGAACTGTGATTTTTGTGAACCGTTACACCCCTAATATATATATATATAGGATAAAAATATCACGGTATTACGATATTGTGATTACTTCCCTAAAATATATTCTTTTTAAATGTCTGGTTAAAAAACTAGAACTTTTTCCCCCTTTGAACACAATATATCGTATTTTGAGAAACATTTCAAATATTTTGTGACAGTAAACATGTCAGGCTGAATATTTCAAATGAATCACTGACTTCTGCTGTCTTCATCTGTTTCAAAAACACTGATTTCTTTACAATTTAAAACAGCATCTTCGGATATCTTTTTTTGCTGGACATACTGTTGTCTGAAAATAAAACTGCAATAAACACTGTAAATAAAAAATCTTACACATACCTTATGAACGACATAGCAGACAATTTGGCGGTTTTAAAACCTTGACTTTTCCAAACCGCGGTATACCTTGAAAACCGCTATCATCCCATGCCAAATATATATATAATGAAAAGCACCTGGTAACTATTTACTTGAGGAATTTCTTTCATCAGATACTGTTTTACTTTTACTCGAGTTACTTTTAAGATTGTTACTTTTACTTTAGTAAAAATGTTTGCACGTACTTGTGCTTTTACTTGATTATAGATAGAAGTAGGGCAAGGCAGTGGAGCAGTGGGTAGTAGCACGTTCGCCTCACAGCAAGAAGGTCGCTGGGTCGCTGGTTCGAACTTCAGCTCAGTTGGCGTTTCTGTGTGGAGTTTGCATGTTCTCCCTCGCTTCGCGTGGGTTTCCTCCGGGTGCTCCGGTTTCCCCCACAGTCCAAAGACATGCGGTACAGGTGAATTGGGTAGGCTAAATTTTCCGTAGTGTATGAGAGTGTGTGTGAATGTGTGTGTGGATGTTTCCCAGAGATGGGTTGCGGCTGGAAGGGCATCCGCTGCGTAAAAACTTGCTGAATAAGTTGGCGGTTCATTCCGCTGTGGCGAGCCCGTATTAATAAAGGGACAAAGCCGACAAGAAAATGAATGAATGAATAGATAGATGTATAGAAGTTTAATATGATGGATTATTTAGATTGATCATTTCGTTGGGCGTGCAGTGGCAGGTATTTAAACGTTTCTGTCATCTCGCATCATGTTAGGTGCAGACAGCCAAATTGCTTGTCGCTGGAATCTTGTTGTCACTTGTTGTTTGGACACAGGGTTTGGCTGGCTCTTTAAAATAATCCAGTAAAATTCAGGTCTTCCTGTCCAAAAAACAAGCACTTAGTTTTACCCAGCGACTGTTTCAGTAGCATGGTGTCAAATTTTGCATGGAGAAAAAAAAGGTGAAATGATCTTCCCTCAATTACATTTCTTTAACAATGACATTCTAGAAGCTCAGAAGTGTAATATAAGTCTGCCGTTGCCAGATCTGTCTACATTACTCGCATGTCGCCGTGGTCTGCCTGCCCTATAATGAATTCAGAGCAGCTCCAGACGGAGCTATAAATATCTGACAGGTGATTGAGTCAAAGTGAGACGGACGGACGAGGGGGGGAAAGGGTGAGAAAGAGAGCTGTCAGGCTGCTGGCTTAAGGATTTCCGTCTCCCCCCACCCAACCCCTTCCTAAGGCTAATGACTGATGATGTCACTGGAAAGAGAGAGAGAGAGAGAGAGAGAGAGAGAGCTGTCAAGCGGCAGGGGAGGGATTCCCTCTGAGAAGATTAATGGGGGAGGAGTGTGGGATAAAAACAAAAGTGACCTCAGCCTGACCCCTCTCTCAAAGCAGACCAGTGAGCCAGCACTTTTCCCTCTCTCTCGCCCTCTCCGACTCTCAGAATATGCGTAAGGTCATTGGCGGTCACACTGACTGGAAGTGTTACAGCACATCGCCATGTATTGTTTACTTCCAGCGCTGAAAGACGATTTTGTGGCTCTGGCAGCAGATCAAGGACATGTAAAGCAGACACTCTTTCATTCCCTCCTTCTTTCATTCTACCCCGAATCTTTTCTTTCTTTCTTTTTTTTTGTTCCCTGCGCTGAAGTCTTTTGAAGTACCTTTTACAGCTCTGAGCTGCGGAGGAAAATGCAAATTGGTTTTATTACTTTGCATCAACCGAGCCGTAGAAATTTCAGACGTTATTAGGAGGGTGTCCTTTTATGCCATCGCATTTCTATGGAAATTAATAACCAGTTGTATTCAAATGTTATTGGATTATGGAAATGCGGTCTGGGGATTGCAAGATTTGGGGCTTCTCTCCCTGGAGCTCGTGGAGAAGTGATTAGGACATTGTCGTTGGCTTGTAGATTTATAGAAATACCGTTTAGCCACAATGGGAATATTAATGCTTTAAAAAGAGTTTTGAAATATTACACTAGATGTTTTATTAATGATGGTATATTATTTACATTTTGGAAGCTCTTTGCATTATGATGGCCGAAATCAGTTTTGATTGAAGAAATCCCAACGGCTGTGCGATTAAATCGTATTTGGTCAGTAAAGCGGGTTCTGGTGAAGCATGTGCGTTCAAATTGACTACACGCAAGTCATAGTTCACTAAGTATGGAGCCAGATCAAAAATAATACATTTACTAAAGACAATTCACAGCACAAAACACAAATTGCAAACGCAGAAATGCTATTCGTAATTTCTAAACACAACTCGTAAATACACAAGTCCAATTTGTCGATTCAAAACAGTTCGTAAATACACAAAAGCAATAAAACACAAATACAATTTGTAAATTCATAACACATTTCGGGTGACGCAGTGGCGCAGTAGGTAGTGCTGTCGCCTCACAGCAAGTAGGTTGCTGGTTCGAGCCTCGGCTGGGTCAGTTGGTATTTCTGTGTGGAGTTTGCAGGTTCTCCCTGCGTTCGCTTGGGTTTCCTCCGGGTGCTCTGGTTTCCCGCACTTTCCAAAGACATGCGGTATATGTTGGGTTGGCTAAATTGTCCGTAGTGTTTGAGTGTGTGTGTGGATGTTTCCTAGAGATGGATTGCGGCTGGAAGGGCATCCGCTGCATAAGAACGTGCTGGATAAGTTGGCGGTTCATTCCGCTGTGGCGACCCCGGATTTATAAATGGACTAAGCCGACAAGAAAATGAATGAATGAAAACACAATTCGTAAATACATAAGTGCAATTAATAAATTAAAAACAATTCGTAAATACACAAATACAGATTGTAAATACATAAACACAATTAATATTTCAAACACAAATTGTAAATACAAAAGTGCAATTTGTAATTCAACACAAGATTCATAAATACACTAATATACTTCATACATGCAATTTATAAATTTTAATCATAAATCGTAAATACACAAATGCAATTCGTAAATTAAAACACAGTTCGTAAATGTACAAATACTATTTGTAAATTCAAAAGAAAATTCACCGATACTCAACTCCAAATTTCAAATTATGTCAATTTCAAAACACAATTCGGAAATACTCTATTTTTTAATGCACAAATACAATTTGTAAATTCAAAGCACAATTTGTAAATATACAAATACAGATTGTAAATACATAAACACAATTCATAATTCGAAACACAATTTGTAAATACAAAAATATAATTCGTAATTTAAAACAAGATTCAAAAATACACTAATACACTTCACAAATGCACAAATACAATTCATAAATCGTAAATACACAAATACAATTCATAATTTAAAACACAATTAGTAAATGCACAAATACTATTTGTAAATTAAAAAAAAAAAACAATTAGATACACAACTCCAGTTTGTAGATTCAAATCAATTTACACAAATACAACTCGGAAATTCAAAACACAATTCGGAAATATGTAAATACAATTTCAAATTTCAAATAATTCATAAATACAAAAATAAAATTTGTAAATTCAAAACAAATCTAAAATACATAAATACAAATCGTAAATTCAAGACACAATTCGTTTATATATAAAAATACAACTTTAAAATGTAAAATTATTCGGAAATACACAAATACAATTCAGAAATTCAAAACAATATTCCACCATTTTATATATGACCACCTTTTAGTCATATAGTCATATCACATATTAAGGTGAATTTTATATAAAATGATGGTGTACACAACAGTCTCTGGACTTGCTGCATCACAGACATCAATATTTGCATCAATATTTGAGAGCTGTGAGGCCGGTGTTTAGCCAATGAAAGTAAATCCATATAATGGTACGGTGTTTGACAGCAAAGTTTTTGGTGCGCTACTGCCACCTCTGGTTAGCGATGTCACCAACCGAAACTTGCTTGATGGACAGATGACTGATGGAGAGGAGTTTCTGAACCAGAATTCCTTATGACCATAGCTCGAGAAGTACATGTTAAGATGCAGTAACTTTATTTCTGATGATTTACACATATAATATAATGCTTATTCCAAAATATTTCCCTTTACTATAAATTACTATAGTATTTTAAATGTGTAACAGCTGGTTATGTACTAGCTTGGTGATCGCTTGATTCACGTGATACTATAATGTGTTTCTGTTTAGTACAGCATATAATTTACAGTAAATAACTGAACAGAACCATTATGCCTCATATGTTTCATTGACCCTGCTGAAAAATCCAGCTTAAACCAGCCTAGGCTGGTTGGCTGGTTTTAGCTGATTGACCAGGCTGGTTTTAGAGGGGTTTTTAACCATTTCCAGGCTGGTTTCCAGACATTTCCAGAATGGTCTTAGTTGGTCTGGCTGGAAAATGACCAGCCTAATCCAGCTAAAACCAGCTTTACCAGCCTGGTTTAAGCTGGATATAGCTGGTTTTGGCTGGACTCCCAGCTTGGCTAGGCTGGTCAAGCTGGTTTTAGCTGGCCTGGAAATGGCCAAAACCCCTCTAAAACCAGCCTGGTTGACCAGCTAAAACCAGCCAACCAGCCAACCAGCCTAGGATGGTTTAAGCTGGATTTTTCAGCAGGGACAGTTTTATTGATCTCTAAGATATGATTGATTTGGATTTAAGTTGCTTCGATTTAAAAATGGAAATTGTAAAAATAGCTTAGATGTAGCTAAGCTACTTTTGCCATGTAGCTTTTAGCTTAGCTTGCTACATTTTCTATGGGGTAGCTTTTAGTGTAGTCAAGCTACATTTTAAGTAGAGTAGCTAATAGCTTAGCTACATTTTTCAAGTACTTTGCTCAACACTGTTGAAATGTGTGTAAATATATATTTATTCCATTTCAATATTAATAGGGTATATGCCGAGCTAGTGTTCTGCCCATACTGATAAACTTCCGGTGACCTGTTATTGTGAGTTTTTTTTCCATTTTATACGGTTCCTTTTACCGCATAGATGTTGTGAAGTAAGTAAAATACAATCATTTAAACAGACTTTGGCAGTCATTTATTTGCTCAAGCGAGACAAAAAGCTGTTTACTCGCACACGCCTGTCAGAATCGGCAGGCTAGCCCAGAAGCTCCATTGAATATACTGGGTTAAGTTAACTGCTCATATTATAAAGACATGGCGGGGGAAATGTAATTTAATGCGGTGCTTCTTGTACAATCTGAGACCCACTTTATATCGGATATCACTCAGCCAGTGGAGATCGCTGATTTTTAAAGATAACAGATCTTAAACACGCCGATTTTTCATTAGCACACAGTTAACCGGAAGCACTTAACCCAGGTTACTGGCAAATTAAAAGTCCTATTAGCATGCTTAGCCATATACCCTATTTCGGTAATAGTACTGAATAATATGCAAATGTGTATACGATTTATTTACAACACGGCTTGTAATGTTTTCTGTCTTTTAGTAGATTCTATCATATGAAAGACTTGCTTTGTTTACCAAACAAGTGCATCTAATTGTGTTTGCATTGTAAACCTTAAATACAAGCTAAAAGGTGATTCTTTTTTAGTAACCCCACACAAATCCTTAAAGTTTTTACTAAATTACACAGAATTCGCAAGAACGCTTGACATGGCGAATCCTGGCATGTGACTATTGTTACGTCTATGCCTAAACAGTACATATGCTCAGCCCTGATGTACTCCTTTTCTATCTGTCCAACAGCAAACTCAGGCTCTCTTCAGGGGCCGCAGACTCCTCAATCTACAGGCAGCAGCACCATGACAGAAATGCCAGGGGACCTGAAGCCGCCAACACCCGCTACCACACCGCACGGACAAGTCACCCCTCAGCCTGCCGTCAGGTTGGCGGAATTCATGGATTATATTGAAGTATCTCATGAATTCGTTTGCATGTATTGATTTGTTTTGTCCTTGTTTGCTACTTTAGAAACAGTGGTATTAGTGTGCAAGATCCGTTCTCAGAAGGCAGTGACCCAGCCTTTCAGAAGCGAGGTCCCATGCATGGAGGCAGCGGAGATGCTACCTCTAGAATGCAGTTTGACACTAGTAAGGATCCCTTCGGAGCCGCTAGGAAAGGTATGATGTTGTGGTTGATAGATTGGACAGTTGTTGTTTTTTTTCAGCTGCTCACTGCTGCCTCACTGTGCTCAGTTTATTAAAGCCACATGTTCAGGATTTATTGAGCACTGCTGCCATCTAGTGTCTGCAGGTTAAAAGCAGCAGGAATTCAATTGATCTTGTTTACTTGCTACGCTGTAAAAAGCAGAGGTGTAAAGAGTACCTGAAAACTATACTTGAGTAAAAGTAGAGATACCTTACTGTAACAATTACTACATTACAAGTCACTCAAGACTTGAGTAAAAGTATTAAAGTACGGAACCCCGGAAGGGACGTAGTGGAGGAGACAAAAATTGGCTGGGTAAAAAAAAATAATGGGTAAAAGAAAAAAAATGGGTGGGAGGAAAATATATATTTCTAAGTTTTTGCGTTCCCTCGCAAAGATGTTTTGCGTTCTCTCGCAAAGTTTTGCGTTATCTGATGTTTTGCGTTCTCTCGCAAAGTTTTGCATTATCTGATGTTTTGCGTTCCCTCGCAAAGATGTTTTGCGTTCCCTCGCAAAGATGTTTTGCGTTCTCTCGCAAAACTGTTTCTCCACAAACACTTCCTGTTCACTTCACTCACGTAAACCCTCCCGTTTTTGCTGAAATTCTCCCATATTTTATCATTCTATCCCACTTTCTTTACATAACAGTGTGCTGATCGTCGCCTTTCACTTTGCAACCTCTGAACCAGTGTGTTTAAGCGCTGACTGACAGACGCGCTTCGTACAATAAACTGATCCCAGATCATCGTCTGTACGCGCCATTTAAAGGGACACTTCTGTTATCAAACAAGTGCGCAGCAAATGAATCTCATGTTTTGTTTAGTTTGATAACAGAGGTGTCTCTGTAAGAATGCACAGATCTATAATGAAAGCAGCCCATTACTTTAGAAACTGTTTGTGCTCATTTAAGAGAAAATAAGCTGTTTAAAATAAAACATGCAGGATGGAGATGTTTCATATTATTAGTGTATTTGTCTGTTTAAACATACACCCGCTCCTCTGTAAATGGCGTGTACAGACGCTGATCTGGGATCAGTTTATTGTAAGCGCGTCAGTCAGCGCTTATACATGCATTCACTGGTTCAGAGGTAGCATATGAAAGTCAACGATCGACGCACAGTAATGTAAAGAAAGTGGGGTAGAATGGTAAAATACGGGAGAATTTCGGCAAAAACTGGAGGGTTTACGTGAGTGCAGTGAACAGGAAGTGTTTGTGTAGAAACAGTTTTGCGAGAGAACGCAAAACATCTTTGCGAGATAACGCAAAACTTTGCGAGAGAACGCAAAACATCTTTGCGAGAAAACGCAAAACATCTTTGCGAGAGAACGCAAAACATCTTTGCGAGGGAACGCAAAACATCTTTGCGAGAGAACGCAAAACATCTTTGCGAGAGAACGCAAAACATCTTTGCGAGGGAACGCAAAACTTTGCGAGAGAACGCAAAAACTTAGAAATATATATTTTCCTCCCACCCATTTTTTTTTCACCCATTATTTTTTTTTCACCCAGCCAATTTTTTTCTCCTCCACTACGTCCCTTCCGGGGTTCCGTATTAAAGTATCCGATTTTAAAAGAACTTATTTTACTCATACTGAATGTAGGCTCAAAGAACACCAAGAAAGGCTTTTTTTCTTAATATAGAAGTTAAATCGAACACCTCAATGTTTCAAAATGGCAGAACAAAATAGATACAAAAAAATAGAAGAAAAAGTCTCTAACTCAAATGTTAAAAAAGGCAATAAAAAATAAAATAAATCAATAAATAAAAATAAATAAAATAAATTAGTTAAAAAAATCAGAGCTGACTTTTATGTGATTCACCTCTCAGTCTCAAAGAGGGGCAATACTTTTACATACCTGTCAACATTGGGATGTGAAAATAAAGGATATGCCCACCATTATAAGGGATTCCCCCAACACCCCCCCCACCCCCTTAAAAAAATCCCCAAATTACTAAATAGGTTCATTTGCAGCTGTTGTATTGTAAATAAACAGTTAAATGGTCAGTAATATGTATTAAAATTATTATTGGTCCCACTTTTTATTAAGTGTCCCTAACTACTATGTACTTACGTCAAAAAAATAAATACAATGTACTTACTGTGTTTATAATGTATTTGAGAACACTTGTGGTGCTTTTGAGTTGGGATAGAGGTTGGGTTATGGACAGGTTTGGTGGCACGGGTAGGTTTAAGGGTGGGTTAAGGTGTAAGGGATGGTCAACAGTGTATTTACAAATGTAATTACAAAAGTTAATAAGTACACAGTAAATACAGGTATTTACGCAATAAGTACATTGCAACAAACTATTAATTCCTATGTAAGTACATATTAGTTAAGGCCACTTAATATAAAGTGGGACCTTATTATTAACAAAAGAAAAATAAATATAGACATTAGCAGCAAATACATTAGCAAACAGATCAGCTTATTAAAATTAATAGCTATAATGAAGTAGAATCAAGCTATCAAATCTCATTAGCCGTTTCTCCACTGTAAAACTTACACATTCTGATTAAAGAGCAAGGAATGAATCTCTTATTAAGATTTTTTAATTACAATTATTACAATTATTACATTAAATAAGAGGTGTCACTTTAAAAATGCACTTATCTAACGTTATACTGAAAGCATTTGACTGCTTTCCTAACATTTTATGCTCATTTAACACACAATTAGTTGTGTTTTGGAAAAAAAAAACACCAAGATTGAAATCCTTATATGTTATTATTATTAATTATATGTATATGTCTGTTTAAACATGCAGCCAAAATCCAGACTTTCTCTCCGCTTCAAATCGCGTGTACAGAATTCGTTTGGGAAACAGCGTCTGTTTATCACTATGGAGCATGTCAGCGGACAGTCATGCACCATAATATGATTGTTTTGGGGATCGTATAGGATGGGCCACGGCACCTGTAATCAAAAGGAAATGGAATCGCGCCGTTTTAATATTTATTTATAAGTGTTTTCATTCCTAAACAAAGCGAAAGCACAGAAGACTCAACGTTCTGCTGAATGAATTTTTTATTGGCCTACATTAGTAACTAGGGATGTAACGGTCTCAGAATTTCACGGTACGATAATACCTCGGTATGAATGGCACGGTACGGTATTTATTGAATAATTTACAGGAAAAACAAAACTAATGAAAAGACTTGAAAAAAAGTGCCAAAAGTGTTTGTTTACCTTAGCACTGAACATATCAATGACATACAAATTAGCCATTTAGCTGTAAGTTTGGAAACAGAAACTTCAATTTTTCAATTTTAATAACAAAAAACTATTAAACCATATTAAAAAATAAAGTTTCAATTTAGTATTGTTGAAAACTCATCACATTCAACATTTAATCACTCACTCACTTAGATAGAGATGGGTTATTTAAGGAAAATGATCATATAACTATAATCTGGTAAAAGCTGGGATCTCTGGGCATGTCCCCTGCAACAGAAAAAAAAACCCTCTCATTTGGGACTGAGGTTTCTGGGACAGAGAGATATGATTTAGCCAAGGTTGACAGCAGTGGGTAACTTTGTGCATTGTCTTTCCACCAATTGAGAGGACAAGCCATGAGTGAGATAGAGGTCTCTTTGCGGTACAAGTCAATAGCCCCTTTCACACAGTGATACCGGTAAATATCCGGAAAATTTCCGGAACGACTTTACCGGTATATTGAAAAAAGCGCTGTTCACACAGGCGAGGACGTTACGGAAATTTTCCGGAAAAGAGCATTCACACATCCATTCCAAAATACCGGTAAATTCTGACATCATTCACCACAAATGAGCTTTAAACGGCTGCGCTTGTATTTGTCAACATTTGACTATAAATTACAAACTCTGTAGATGATCAATATTGTGAACAACTTTCACAGGATCACTTTCGCATGTCGAGATTCATAATATGTGCGTGTGCAGGCGCTCACAGGCTGTTTTCACAGGCACACGCAAAGCTTGAAGGTAAACAAACAACGGTTTATCATAAGCATCTCATCGATGATTATTTACACAGTTGGCATTAAGAAGAACATATAAACGTGATCTGACTAACTTCTAGCAGCTAAATGTGTCTGGAAAAATATTCAAAGGCTTTTATTTTCATGAACCGCGCGGACGTAAACGCGTCTGACTGTTGTGATTGGCTAAAGCGGACGTCTCACGTCAGTACAATCTAGACGTGCACGCGCTTATTACGGTAATCTTCCTTCTGCATTCACACAGCGCAGCATTCCGGCAAATTGCCGGTAATGTTACAACTTCTCTTTCCAGAAAATAGCCAGAACGAATTTACTGGTATTTTCAAAAAGGACCTGTTCACACATACAACCTTTCCAAAGGTCTGTATGTGTGAAATAGGCTAATGTCTGCATCAATCTAACAAGTGTGCTGTGTTCTGCAGTCCCCATGCCTGTTTTTAGTCGTATTCCCCGACTTATATTTCACCACAGTCTGGCAGTGCCTGCATACCGTTTTTTTCTTTGTCTGTCACCTTTTCTCCTTTTTCGTATCTTTTTAGAAAGAAACCGAAATGCTTCCACACATCCGATTTAAAACCCGCTTTAGGTTCGATTATTTCCAGCTCTTTTTCTTCCCTGCTACTAGCAACACACTCCACTTCCGCATTACTGGATCTGTAGTGACAACAGACCGCAAAGGATGATGGCCACGCCTGGGCTGATGGGGATTGTAGTTCCCGCTACCTCCCGTTCGCTTCATTCGCCTAAGCAAACTTTTCTCAGGAATATAGATTTATTGAGTCATGCGCCTACGGTAATATTGAAAAAAATGACTATTGCGGTATGACGGTATTTACAATATTGTTACATCCCTATTAGTAACAGTTAATTTTGTTACGGTATGGACTTAATCCTAGGCCAGGCAAAAATAAATCAATAAAGTAAGACCTTTGTAACAAAATCCAAGACTTTTATTCCAAATTCAAGGCTATTAAGGCTATTAAATTTAAGACTTTTTCAATGCTTTTAAGACCCCGCAGGTACTTTGCACACTGTGAATTCAAAATGAGTCCATTTTTATGCTGTCTTCAGATTTTCTAAGTTGAAAGTGTTATTCTTTTCAGGTGGCTCTGAGTCCTTCGTGCCAGGACAGATGCCAGGTAGTGGCATGCAGGAAATGTATTCCCGTGGGCCGTCCTCAGGGATGGGAATGGGCCCACGACCCCAGTACTCTTACAACCCTGGTTTTGAAAGGAGGTAAGCCAGGACGCACGTTGATTTCATTCAGTTCATAAGAAAGAAGCAGAGCTATGGCAACCGTTATTTGATGTTTACAGGCCAGACCATGTCATGGGTCCAGAGGGGGGAATTGCAGCTTCTGGAAATCAGAACAACATGGTGCCTTCCAGCAGCGATCCCAGCATGTTCTCAGGCAGTAGATACGCCTCTCATCAGAGGTCAGAACTCTAACTATTGTTGGCCAGCATATACAAATGTCCGTGTAGTGGTTTAGAATAGCATTTCCTGTTTTACAGCAGACACGGCCATGATGGATATGGGCAGCAGTACCCGCACAGCATGCCATACGGTGCACATGGGATGTATCCGCAACAGCAGGTCAGCTCTCAAATGTCATCTTTCTTTTTGGTTTCATTCTAATAATGCTCCGTGGAATGGCTTGCCTAACATTTTTAGGAAATGGCTGCAGACACGTCGGTTTCGTCATTCTGTTACAGTAGCTTTTGCTATTCTGTTCCGAATCCATCTGTTTGATTCTCATTGTTATGCTAAAACAATGTTAAACTAACCACGATTTGTCCTAGCATGTACAAATTGTTGCTTTTCTGGTGTGTTGTTTGCTTTTATACGCTTATTTTATGCGGCCTCCATTCTAAAACATGCAAGCGAGGTTGCGGTGGGAAGAAAGCCGGAAGTATAGGATCAGCAATGTAAACATTGCAACAACATGCTGTTGACTACAAACCTCCAGCCGTTGCTGCGATTTCATAATGCAGATGTGGTGCAAACATCACTTTAACATCATTCAGTTCAGTTTAATTTAAACAATTTAAAGCATATTAGGGATCAAACAACATGGCAAGCTCTTTAGAGTGTCCTCCTGGGCTTCAGTTCATGGTAGCAGGTAAACAGCAAGGGAACGCTTCCCTGCTTGCGTCAGCCTATGTAACCCGGTAGGCGATAAAGCAATGCAGTTCACTGTAGCACATCCTTGTGTCATCTGTAATAGGGCCTACTCACACTATGCTATCCGTACCGTGCCCAGGCCTGTTTCCCGGATCGTTTGAGAAGTGTGAGTGCGCTGAATCGGGCTCAAGCACGGTTCACTTGGCCGGCCCTGGCCCGGTTGGAAGAGGTGTGCCTGAGCCCGGTTCACTTGGGCTTTGGCGCGGTACGCTTGTGTGTGAGTGCGAAACGCTCCAAAGCCCGAAAGCTAGACGTGACTTTTAAGGGACTGTTTCATATGGATTTATTAATCATTCTTACTGTTCAGTGAGCGCAAACTGCCGTAGCTTATTAAATACGCAAACCCCTCACTGCACGACAGATGCGCGCCTTCAGCAGACCTCCTCATTCCTGCAGCACGAGGGCTTTATGATTGTTTATGAGCGCCAAAAGTGGCGGATCTGTTCAGCGAAATATCTGACTGCATGTCACCGCATCCCTAAGGACTGTTTGGCGAAATATTTGACTGCATGTCAATGCATGACAAACGACTGAAACGATATAACTAGAGAAATCTCCACTGTGCTACTGGGTGAGAGCGTTTTAGCATTTAAACCTTGTTCTGACTATCCATAAATATATTTAGAGATATCTCTAATTATATTTTGACTAGTCATAATTATAATTCGACTAGTCAGAATGACAATTAGAGATATCTGCAATTACAATTGTACTAGTACGAAATCAGATTGGAGATATCTGCAAATATATTATGACTAGTCATATTCCTCCATTGACTTCCATTGAAAAATATTTGCAGATATCTCTGAGTTTTGACTCGTCAAAAATCCAATTCAAGATATCTACAACTGTAATTCGACTATTAGTAAATTAATTAGAGATATCTTCAAATATATTTGTAAATATGTCTAAATATGACTAATTAAAGACATCTCCAAATGTATTATGACTAGTAAAAACTCAGTTAGAGATATCACTAATTACAATTGTGACTAGTCAAAACTCATTTAGAGATATCTGCAAATATTTTTCAATGTGTTAAATGAATACATGTAAATGTTATTATTTGTAATTTCATATCAATGCTATTTTCTTAACCTTTAAGCTTCATGTATTTGTCTTGTCAGGGTTATAAGCGGCCTGGAGAAGGGATGTACGGTCCTCCTGCTAAGCGGCACGAGAGTGAAGCCTATGGTATGCAGTACGGTGGTCAGCAGCCTGATATGTACAGCCAATATGGTTACCCAGAGCGTAGGCCCATGCAGAGCCCATTCCCTTATGGGTACGGCCGAGATCGCATGCAGCCAGGTGGGCAGGGACCTCCTCAGCACAGCATGATGAGCGGTGGACCACCCCCATCCTCCAACTCCAGCGGCGGGCCTCAGGGGAACATGTGGCACACTAGGCACGACATGGCATACCCTTACCCCACCCGACAGAGTCATGGCCCTCCATACCCCTCAATGAGCCGTGGGGATGATCCGGAAGCCAGGGTCAGTCAGGAAAGTCAGTGGCCCGGTCAGCGCCAATCTCCCTACCCGTCACACTCTTCGTCCTCTTCCAGCTCCATGCCCCCCATGGCTAGCCGGCAACCACCTTCTTCCTACCAATCTCCTCCAGCAATGCCAAACCATATATCTCGAGTTCCAAGCCCCGCACCTTTCCCTCGCTCTGTGGGTGGCTCTATGTCACCTACCAAGGCTCATATGATGGCGTCTCTGAAGCAGATGCAGAAGCCAGGGGGCCCAGTGTCCATGCCAAGCTCTCAAAGTGGTGGTCTTCCTGGGCAAGGCTTCTCATCAATCCATAGGGAAGTCAATTACCCTCTGGACTCTGTGGAGGCCACACAACCCCAGCTTAAACCTCGCCGAAGGTTAACGTCAAAAGACATTGGTATTAATGGATTTTCTTGTCATAAATATAATTTTTTAAAAATTGTCTGGTCATGACAAGTTTAACCATGCTTTATATATTGTATAGGCACACCAGAGGCTTGGCGTGTGATGATGTCCCTTAAGTCTGGCTTGCTTGCCGAGAGCACATGGGCCCTAGATACCATAAATATTTTATTATATGATGACAACACAGTCTCTTCTTTTGGTCTGTCTCAGGTAAGTTTATACCAGTTTTTGGTCTTAAGGCCCCGGAATGCTTAAAACAGTTACTTGGTTCTTCATTCAATGCCAACAAGAGATTCAAAAAGGCAGTGTGTTGCCGATTTCCATGCAGTATACAGATTAGTAAACAAGTAATGGCCATGGGGGGTATGTTGCTTACGGGTAACCCTAAACACAATAATCATGAGAAAAGAACACTTGGAGAGAAGAACACTTTCATAAACATCTAGGAAACAGCCTTCCGCAAGAACACACACCTATTGTGTAATTGTCACGGACCAATAGTAGGTCAAACGTGTTTAGGAGCCAAAACAAACTTCCCCAAACATCGCTTTAGAGAGCAGTTTTGAACTGCCGAAAATAACTCAAAACTAAAGTCTGGTTTATACTTCTGCGTCAAGTGACCGACGTAACCAACAGCGCATGCAACACGCGTTGCTGTGCATTTATACTTCTGCGCGCTGTCTCTGTTGGTCTGCATTAACCCCTCCAAAACGCTAGTTGTCAGTGAGGTGTTGATGTGTCTCCCTGTCGAGTTTCTTCGCCTGTGTTTTGTTCTTTCTGAACGCTTCCGGGATGTACAAGTGGCTCAAACTCGCTCATTTTGAGGCAGGAACCGTCGGACGTGCAACAACTTTAACCATGAGGTAAACACAAAACAAAGCTTTCCATCAGGAGCTCCTTCGCAGGACTCCACACTTGTAAACAATCGCTCCATTGGGCTCGCGCCCGTCGCGTGGCTCTCGGTCCTGCCCAGACTTGTCAGTGCTACCAAGACGACCAATCACAGAGCTTGCGCTAAGCACGTCAGCAACGGCCACAGCGTAGGGCTATGTGTCACCATAGCATACGCGTGCGCTTGACGCAGAAGTATAAATCAGCCTTAACTTTGTTTGTAATAATGTCACATTAGTTTCAACTGTTCAAATTCGTTTCAAGCATCCTGGGGTCTTTATATCATATCAGTTTTGTTTTGTTTTTCAGAAATTGAGGGCTTGTGATCTTTGATAATATATTTTGTGTCCTTTGCTCCTCTAGCTGCCTGGTTTCTTGGAGCTCATTGTTGAATTTTTCAGAAGGTGTTTAATAGAGATCTTTGGGATCCTTGAGGAATATGAAGTTGGAACAGAGGGTCAGAAAACTCTTCTTGGTTCATGTTCAGAACCTACAGAAAAACAGCAACCTTCCACTCCAGACTTCAAAAGCCAATCCATTGCGGAACATGTGGAGAAGCGATTAGACGTGGAGCCTGAGAAACCTCAGCCCAGCAGCTCAGCAGCAGCACTCGTCATGGAGAAAAAAGAAGAGTCAGCAGAGGATAAGGCAGATGACGAGGAAAAGAACACTGGTAAAGATCCATGTCCTCCTGTGGAGCCCAGACCCAAGCAGGCCAGTAAGTATGACAGGCTTCCAGTGAAAATCGAAGAGAAAGACGCTGAGGAGGATTGTGTGGAGGATCGATCAGAGCTGCTAGGTCTTGCCGGGGAGTTCAAAAGTGGTCTGCTGCACTGGAAGGCAGGCGGCGGGGACTCCACTGCCCATATCCAGACCTATTTCGAGAGAAGCTGGGAAGAGGAACAGCCTCTCGAGAATCAGGAAGGTGTGCAAGCTATTGGAAAAGAAACGGTTGAAGAGCAGCCCAGAGGGCAAGAGGAGCTGAAAAGAGAACTCCCAGGGCCTTCAGAGGAAAACTTGACAGCCACTGTAGATGATGTGCTAAAATCAAATCCAGGGTCCATATCTGAAGGTGAATCTCAGACATTCCCCTTCCGCACCAGGGAGAACAAGAGCAGCATTACTTTGCTGGAAGATGAGCCGCGGTGCTGGGATGAAGCACCTCTTTCTGTAGCTGAAAGCTGGCAGGATGAGTTGGCCAAGCGCTGCATCTGCGTGTCCAATATCATCCGCGGACTCTCCTTTGTCCCAGGCAATGACAATGAATTGGCTCGGCACCCAGGTTTAGTGCTCATTCTTGGCAAACTTGTGCTTCTGCACCACGAACACCCTAAAAGAAAAAGGATGCCAGCTACTTACCAGCGAGAAGAAGAGCGAGGTCTGGCTTGCAGCAAAGACGAATGGTGGTGGGACTGCCTTGGTGCCTTGCGTGAAAACACCTTGGTCACCCTTGCAAACATTTCGGGACAGCTAGATCTGTCCGTTTATCCAGAAAGTATCTGCCTTCCCATTCTGGATGGGCTGCTCCACTGGATGGTGTGCCCTTCAGCAGAAGCCCAGGACCCCTTTTGCACGGCAAATGGCTTCTCGTCCCTCACACCGCAGAGGCTGGTGCTGGAGTGCCTGTGCAAACTGAGCATCCAAGACTCGAACGTTGACCTCCTGCTGGCCACACCGCCCTTCGGCAGACAGGAGCGCCTCTTTGCCACTTTAGTGCGGCATGTTGGTGATCGAAAGAGTCAGGTGTGTCGTGAGATGGCTGTAGCCGTTCTCTCTAACCTTGCACAAGGTGACCCAACAGCTGCCCGAGCTGTTGCCCTGCAGAAGGGCAGCGTCGGAGCCTTGATAAGTTTCCTAGAGGACAGCGTTGCAATGGCGCAGTATCAGCAAAGCCCTCATAGCCTCTTGCACATGGGACACTCTACCCAACATGAGCCGCCCAGTATCAACATGATGTGCCGGGCCGCCAAAGCCCTGCTGGCCATGGCCAAAGTGGAAGAGAACAGGCCCGAGTTTGTCCTCTTCGAGAGCAGGCTTCTTGATATCTCGCTGTCCTCCGTGCTGAACTCTGGAGTGGCGGCCATCTTGTGTGAGGTACTCTTCAAGCTCGGCCGCTCGTGACACGCACAAAAGAGCGGGAGCCTATAGTGCCATCACGGGAACGCACGGCTGAGCTGAGCCACAGAGATCACACAGAACTGTCGGTGTTATATTTTTATTTAAGGAAAAGAACACAAACAAACAAAAAAAAGTTTTTACATACAAATGAATATATAGAGAATATATATAGCTCCTCTGCCCCATTTCCCAGTTTTCATTTGGGATTTTTAAATGATTTTAATACAGATATTTAATACTTGGTCTTTTCGTTTTTTTTCTATTCTTTTTTTTTATTATTATTTTCGTTTCGTTGCGTCTGTGTATTTTCTTTCGTTTGTTTTAACCAAAGTTGGCATCCGATAGAGTTAGATTTTAAGAGTATTTTGCTCTCAAAATGTTTTGATGCAGTGTTTTGTTTGTTTTCTCGTGGGACTTTGTTTATTCGGGGAATGCAGATTTATTTAAATTTGTGAGACATGTTGTAGATAGAACTTCTCTTGCAATGTGTTGCGACATAAGAAAAAAACGAAACAAAAAACAAAGAAAAAAAAAACACACTGATTTTAAGACATACATGTATACAGCTCTGAAAAAAAAAAAGCATTGTGCAATAGATTTAGCTGGCTCAGAGGGGAGATGATGATGAAATGTGAATGACCACAGGCAATGTTCTGATCTGACCACCAGTGTTGCACTGTTTCACCACACCAGTATCTGAGGGTCAAGCGAGCGTCAGTTTCAAACCGACTTGCTTCCATATTAGTGCCGCCATATAGAGAGTCCCTCTCTCTGACGGTGAACTCAAAAGTGCTTCGGTTACCCCTCTATTCTATATCCACGGGTCGATTTGTATATAGGAACTGTACATTATATGGGCCCCTTTTCACAATTTTTTTTTTCCTCCAAGAGATGTGGTATTATACAAAGTGAGTAGTTAATGCTACGCGCCATTGACATTTTGCAGATGTAAAGTCACTGTTTCAGGTGAGGAAAGTCTTCAAACGTGTAAGGGGGCGTTCATACAGGGGCGTTTTTGCATTTGATCTAAGCTTATTTTTTTTAATTGTTGGACATATTTAGTTGATGTGCTGCACATTGCTGTTTTCAGCATCTTTTAGTTAAGTATTTTTAAACTCTTCCCAGCAGATCAGTGTCAGTTTTACGATGGACCAGATGAATTCGGCTGCTGGAAAAGCATCTACTGAATTGAGCATGTACATTAGCGATTGCATACGGGGGTAATGACATGCCTGTAAATGCACTTGTTCAGTTGCTGTTTGTAATACACGAACGCATCCTTTGTGAATGCCTCCGAAGACTTTCCTGTGGAGTTCTGTGTGACAGAGATGGCAATGGCTCCCTCTAATGGCCTTAGATTTCGGAAATTACAGGCTGAACAGATGGCATAAATGTAATTCAATGTGAAAGTTACCCCAAAAATGACTTAACGATTTTAACAAGAAGAAAAAATATGTACAACTCTTTATGTAAGCTCTTTTTGCTCCATATGATTTGATGACCATTGTTTATTCAGTATAAAGTCTTTATACATGTTCCACATGTTAAAAGTAAATGTACATGAAATTTGGTCGAGCACTGTGAACGTTGTTCTTCAGTGTTGTGTTATTTTTGTGTGTGCGTGTGTGTGTGTGTGCCAAGAGTGACTAAAGAAGGTACCAAACCATAAATAGCATTAATATTGTAATCTTTTGTTTTAAAAAACGCAATTCACTAGCAGTTAACTAAAGTTTTCTTGGAAATCGGCTCATTTTACACATCCTCTAGAGCTGGGGTGCCCAAACTCTGACCTGGTGTCCAGCATGTTTTAGTTCCAACCCCAATTAAACACACCTGAATCAGCTAATCAAGCTCTTTCTAGGTATACTAGAAACTTCCAGGTAGGTGTGTTGAAAAACGTTGGAGCTAAACTATGCAGGACACAGTTTGGGCACTCCTGCTCCAGAGTTAAACAGTAGAGTTCTACCATTTTTTAATCCTAGCCAATCTCTGGGGCTGCGTCCGAAACCGCATACTTCCATACTATATAGTACGCTAAAATCAGTATGCGAGCAGAGTGTGTCCGAATTCATAGAATTCGAAAATCAGTAGGGGAGAAGTACCCGGATGACTTACTACTTCCGGCGAGATTCTGAAGTGCGCATCCCATGCACGCTGCGCTATCCCATAATGCCCCGTGAGAGAATTCATGAATGGAAGTGAGGCGACGCAACTGACGCAGGTAGGTCACGTGACCACGACAAAATGGCGGATATAGCCCGTCCGAATTCCATTCATACTGTATAGAACATACTTTTCTAACTGCAGAGTAGTACGTTTAAATTCAAATACAGTACCTACTGAGTAGTAGGCGGTTTCGGACGCAGCCTGGGACTGGCGGTAGCACATTTAGCTTAGCTTAGCATAATTCATTGAATTGGATTAGACCATTAGCATATATATATATATATATATATATATATATATATATATATATATATATATATATATATATATATTTATATATATTTATTTATTAAAAGGTGCAGTGCTGTTACTGAATTGCCTTGTGGAGACTATCTTTAGACGCTGGTTAATATCACTGCACCAGCTGCAGTCACATTACAGCAGCAAAGTTTTTTTATTACTCTAGAATAGGAGTATAGTTCCTCGCCATATCAGCCTAGAAAATAGGAACTTTGCATTTTCTGTCCGTCTTAGTACATGATATAACTAAAGAAGAGTCAAGCTGTTAGGAAAATGATCAAAACTCTTCTTAAACAAGATGCTAATGGTCTAATCTGATTCAATGATTTATGCTAAGCTAATCTAAAAGTGTTCCTGCCAGATTCTGAGATTAATCCATTTAGCCAATCTCAGAGTCTTGTGGGAACACTTTTAGCTTAGCATAAACCATTGAATCAGGTTGGACGCTTAAAGGTGCCGCGCTGTTACCAAATTACCTGGTAGAGACTATCTTCAGGCTCTGCTTAATATTATTGCACCTGCTGCAGCTACAGCAGCAAAGTTCATTGAATATTACTCCAGAATGAGTGTAGTTCCTAGCCATATCAGCCTGGAAAATAGGAACCTTTTATTTTCTGTCCGTCTTCATACGCAATCTAACTAAGAGTAACACTGCTAATTGTAAAATTATTAAAACTCTATTTTTAAAATACGTTTGAGCGAAATGCTAATGGTCTGATCCGATTCAATGATTTATGCTAAGCTAAGCTAAAAGTGTTTCCGCCAGACCCAGAGATCGGCTGAATGGATTAAAACAATGGTAAAATTCAATTGTTTAACTCTAGAAGAGTTGTAAAAGGAAGTGGAGAGTTCCTTTAGGGTTGATGGGTACATTCTGTATCAGTATATCCAGTGCTCTATGCTGCACATCAACAAAAAAGCCCTCACATACCGGACAACTGCTGTGCTGTGGCTTGTGTCGTCGCTGCAAGCTGTGTCTTCCAGGAATCTCTGCTTTTCGGAGAAAGCTTGAAAACAAATTATTGTGAGATGCTTTTATTAGACCTTGTAACCACGACACCATATTTCAAACAAAAGATGCTTTAGTTTGATACATTTACCGTAAAAAAACACCAGCCGAAGGGTAAATTATTCTCATTTTAAGGACAACTAATGTTCCAACAGCATGTTTACCAAAACAACAACACAAGGCCACTGTTTTAGCAAGATTGCAAAGCTGTGAATTAAATAAGGTCTCAGATATTACAGTATGTACAAACATAGAGTCTCTTCTTGTGGAATCCAGCAAACATAATCAAGTGTGGAGTCTTTCAGGCCTCTAGACAGCCGTTCTCCAGTGCTTTGACCTCATGCTTGATGTTTAATCCGGTAACTGGGCCAAATATGGCTGTCCTGTTGCCTCACACTTGATTAAAAGCGGCCATACGATACATTTCCACAGTCCGTTAAGTCTGCGTGTTCTTGCTAATCGACATTTCAGCTCATTTTGACTTGAAGATGGAATTCCAGTCAAAAGGAACAGAATTGGCTTGAGCGTCTTCATTTTTAGGGATGGCAGGGAAAATGGATTGCATTTTTTGACGAAATTCTTGTAGCTGGAACAAAGAAAGAAGATCTACATTAAAGCAAAGTTAAAGTTTAATGAAAAGATGTAATTAAAGGGATAGTTCAACCAAAACTGTGATGTACACAACAAGAAGATATTTTGAAAAATGTTGGAAACCTGTAACCACTGACTTCCAGAGTGTTTGTTTTTTTTCTACTATAGATGTCAATGTCATTACAACATTCTTCAAAATGTCTTCTTTTGTGTTCAACAGCAAAATCCACTTGATGGCGAGTACGTTTTCAGGTTTGAGTGAAATATCCCTTGCAGGGGTGGGCAAACTCTGTGTCCTGCACAGTTTAGCTCCAACTCTAATCAAACACACCTGCTCATCTTGAAGACACTGAGAAGCTTGTTCAGGTGTGTTTGATTAGAGTTGGAGCTAAACTATGCAGGACACCGGCCCTCCAGGACCGAGCTTGCCCACCCCTGCTTTATAGAGTGTATTGTGGGATGCAGAACGTACACTGTGGACCCCCATAGCCTTCCAAATGGTGAGGCTGAGAAGGCCGACTCCACACCAGGCGTAAAGTGAACCCCATCCCAACGCCCGCAATGCTAAAGACGCGCCGCTTTCTGGCACCGCAGCACTTCCTATTATACCCTGGACACATCAGAAGAAAAACAGAACAGATGTGTATGTTGCCCAACACAAGCAGTGTGCCACTGAAGTAGCACTTTAGGTCCTGTAAAACAGCATTAACAGTCCTTCTATGTAATCTTACGAAGGAAGGAAGGCCTGGATTTCTGCATTCATTGATTCACAATAGTATAATTGTTTCAGCTGCAATAATACATTACTAGAAAACTATTTTTCTTTGGAATAATAAACATTTAAATTAGGGATGCACCGCTATGGAATGTATGATACCAATAAAACTTTAGATTTTTCATCTGATAGCTGATATATAGGCTGATAAATATTTATGCTTTTCAAATATTTTCTCCATGTTACCTAAATGAAAAGGCAAATACATAGTGTACAACTCTAAATGTAGATAATTAACTTTGTTTATATGCACAACTTTCTTTTATAAGAATAAAATGGTCACAGTTTACAATAAGGTTCATTAGTTAATGTTAATTAATGCATTTACTAACATGAACAAACAATGAACAATACATTTACTACAGTATTTGTTCATGTTAGTTAACGTTAGTAAATGAAAATACAGTAGTTCATTGTTAGTTCATGTTAACTCATGTTGCATTAACTAATGTTAACTAGCATGGACTTGGATGTTAATAATGCATTAGTAAATGTTCAATTATGATTAATAAATGCTGTACATGTGTTGTTCATGATTAGTTCATGTTAGTAAATGCATTAACTAATGAACCTTATTGTAAAGTTTTACCAATAAAATCTACAAATAGAAGCATAATTAAACGCAACAAACGTCACTGAACATTAACCAAAATCAAAATACAGTCAAGGGCGAGGCAGTGGCGCAGTAGGTTGTGCTGTCGCCTCACAGCAAGAAGGTCGCTGGGTCACTGGTTCGGACCTCGGCTCAGTTGGCGTTTCTGTGTGGAGTTTGCATGTTCTCCCTGCCTTCGCGTGGGTTTCCTCCGGGTGCTCCGGTTTCCCCCACAGTCCAAAGACATGCGGTACAGGTGAATTGGGTAGGTTAAATTTTCTGTAGTGTATGAGAGTGTGTGTGGATGTTTCCCAGAGATGGATTGCAGCTGGAATTGCATCTGCTGCGTAAAAAAAAAAAAACTTGCTGGATAAGTTGGTGGTTCATTCCGCTGTGGCGACCCCAAATTAATAAAGGGACTAAACCGACAAGAAAATGAATGAATGAAAATACAGTCAAATTAATTTAAAAAAGTGGTGGGATGTGGAAAACATTTTTGAGATTAATTGTTTCAAGATATTATTTGAAGTATTTTTTATTCAGTAACTCATCGGCTTTAATAAATCTACCTAATTTATGATCAGACCAATGGATAGTACTACTAATAGCATTTATTGGCTGATGTTGATTTGGTTGCAGATACAGTTGAAGTCAAAATTATTAGCCCCCCTGTTTATTTTTTATTTTTTTCTCCCAATTTCTGTTTAACAGAGAGAAGATTTTTTTTTCAACACATTTCTAAACATAATAGTTTTAATAACTCATCTCTAATAACTGATTTATTTTATCTTTGTCATGATGAGGGTAAATAATATTTGACTAGATATTTTTCAAGACACTTCTATACAGCTTAAAGCGACATTTAAAGGCTTAACTAGGTTAATTAGGTTAACTAGGCAGGTTAGCGTAATTAGGCAAGTAATTGTATAACAGTGGTTTGTTCTGTAGACTATTGAAAAAAATATATAGCTTAAAGGAGCTAATAATATTGACTTAAAAATGGTTTGTAAAAAATTATGCTTCTCTCCTGACCCTGAAAATATTGTAGATGCGAATATTTGGGTCTTGGTTCTGACGCGTTTGTTGTTTAAACGGGTCAATAAAAAAGTGAAATGTCCATACCTTTGTAAATAAAGTTGGATATTCAAATCCATTTATTGTCTTTTCTCAAAATTAAAAGTAAACATCAAAACAAACATAAACCCGTTCTCACAGCATGGCGGTCAAAAAGTTTGGCTGCGTCCGAAACCGCATACTTCCATACTATATAGTACGCCAAAATCAGTATGCGAGCCGAGTAGTATGTCCGAATTCATAGAATTCGAAAATCAGTATGCGAGAAGTACCCGGATGACTTACTACTTCCGGCGAGATTCCTGAGTGCGCATCCCATGCATGCTGCGCTATCCCATGATGCCCCGCGAGAGAATTCATGAATGGAAGTAAAGCGACGCAACTGACGTAGGTAGGTCACGTGACCATGACAAAATGGCGGATGTAGTACGTCCGAATTCCATTCATACTTTTCACATTCATACTGTATAGAACGTACTTTTCTAACGGCCGAGTAGTACGTTTAAATTCAAATGCAGTACCTACTGAGTAGTAGGCAGTTTCGGACGCAGCCAGTGTTTGACCTTCTTCTTCTACACATCCCTCACTCGTCGTGAGGAGAGCATAAATACCTTATACACCCTCTAGTGGTGCAAAAGAAAATTGCAACCCATAAATGGCTCCAACAAATATAATAGGCTGAATCGTAGAAAAGATGGATTAAGATCGTCAAGTCGAATCGTGATCACGATCTTTTTTCGATTAATCGTGCAGCCCTACAACAAACTCAAAACATGCCATTCTAAGTGTGCCTCACAAAGGTGAGTAAGATTCACAAACCGACTGTGAAAACACACCCTTTCATCTCTCTGACACTTTACCCGACACATACACCAGTTTTTCACCACACACTTTCTTACAATCACTCTATATCTCTCAAAAACAACATTGTGCATTTATGAAGTGTGCTTCAAACAGGTGAGTGGGTTCAACAAACCACCTGTAGCAACACTCTTCTCTCTTTCTCTCTAAAAAAAAAGCTAGCTCTTTATTATCTGAGCACCAAGAGTTGCTTTGTATAGCCAGGGCTCAACAATAAGGACTGCCGATGGCCCGGGGCCAGCATGAGAGATGTTCGGGACAGTAGAGAGAATCGTTACTGGCCCGATCAGGCCAGTGCTGCCTTGTCATCAAATTTTTATTTGCCTGCTACTATGTCAATTGTGTGCAAATACAGTCTTAGAACCGAGAAACAATTTGTGCTTTTAAGTCTCAGAATGCTACGTTTTCGGTAAAGTCGTAAACCCCATATTGCTTTTTGGTTCCTTTTATCTGATTGGTTGTTGTGAGCACGTTTTTTTTTTTTTTTTTTTTTCCACAACCTGGTAAAAACCAGAACAGTGAAGAGACGGCAACATCAAATGATGAAGCTAAAAGAAAACGTCTGTTTCCAACATTGTGGAAAAAGATATTTACATGGGTACAACAATACAAAAAAAAAAATAAAGTGATGTTTTGCATGGTTTTCCATCACTTTTAAGTCAGTCACTTTTTGTTTAGCAATAAACTACCTGCACATTTTCCATACTGCTGTATTTTACTGCTAAATATTTTAACATTTTAAAAATATTTAAATTCTAGATTCAAAGACATTATTTTTGACACATTATTTAAAATATGTGGCTTAAAAAAAAAAGCAATTTTTTATTTATTTATTTTGGTGGGACCAGTGAAAATTTTGGCAGGGCCAGTAAAAATCTGAATTGCTGGTCTAGTCGGGCCAATAGAAAATGTCCTTAGTGTTGAACCCTGATAGCACTTCTTATGTGTATTGCCTCGTGTTGAATCACTGAATGCCTCCTCAACAAAAGCGTCTGCTAAATTTATGAACTCCAAACCTGATCAAACATTTTTAAAGGCAACTCTTATGTCTCCATACATCATTCTAAAAACTATATCACCAATATTAGATTTCTTAGAAGCTTCCTGTGTTTTTGATTTATGTATAACCTGACCAGGAACATGCGTCAAGAAAAATAACGTCAGGTTTTTATTTAGCATTGACTAGTTTGTGTACGGAAGTCTCAAACAGACGCAGCCATTGCTAATGTCATTAGCTGCTTTAATGTCATTTAGTCTATTAGATTAACTGCTATTAGAGCTTAGCATGTTGCAAACATAAAGGAATGCTACAGTTGACATGCTGAAATCGCATATTTATGAAAACAAGAACTAAAACCAGATTCAAACTGAACAATAAAATCCAATTGACTGCATGAAGAAAGTACTCACCAAAACAATAACATGCCGCTGTGATGCTCTTCTATTCATATCTGTACGCTTATGGAATCCTTTACTAATTTTGATAAAGTCTAACTGCTTAAATATATATGAAAACAACGCTAAATGTATCAACAATAAGCTGCTCATTTCCCAGTAAACACTGCACTGGCACCAGAGCAAGTGATCTGTCATTAAAGAAACAGGGCAAGACGTACCATCCGTCTCATCACCATCCTCGTATTGGATTTAGCCTCTTAAAAAGCATTTTTGGCAACACTCGTGCTTACTGGTGTGGGATAAGGGTCTAAAAATAGGGGAAAAAATAAGCAAGCCAAACAAAGAAACCACAGACAGGCTGTTAGTCTCGGAGTGGACGGGCAAAACAAGTTGTAAAGTGGAATCGATGTCAGCATTTACGCAACGTCTAATTGTGTTAAAGTAGCAGACATGAGCCTGGAATTCTCTGCTGATTAGATGAATAACCAGAGCAGAAAATGGCTTAAAAAAAGAAAAGAAAGATGTGTTTTTGTGCGGAGGAGAGCTATTTCTGATTTTCTAAATATTTTGGGACTTCAACTGAATGTTAAACCATAATGTGAGGGGGTTTTTGTACTGCTACTTAAAATAGGCTATAAGTAACAGCACTTGTTTTGCTCTGTATCTGTTAAAGTTTGTTTATTTTTCACCACTTAAAATGTATTTTTTTTCTGCACTTAATTGTGACTGTTTGTTTCCACATCAAGTAAAGTCCCGGACATAATAATAACATATTTATTTATTTTATTCCTATATTTACATTTCTTTGTCTTAAGTTATTTCGTGTGTATAATTCTTTGCATATTAAATATTTACACTTACCTGAGCTGAATAACAGAACCTAAATTGGCCGTGGTGTATGAGTGTGAATGCGAGAGAGTGTTGTGGCTGGAAGGGCATATGCTGCGAAAAACATATGCTGCAATAGTAATAATAAAGGGACTAAAAATTTGTGAATAATAAAGATTTAATAATAATAATAATAGTAATAGTTTAAAACTCACATTTCAGAACACTAAAATATGACAGTTGATAATAAAAACAATAACAACAACATAATAACAACTGTAATAATGTAATAGCAATTTACCACTTTACCCAATTATCACAGACACTTTAATATACCCTTTTTTTTAAAAAAACATTGGAATAGTACTATTAATTCACAAAAATTAAAACAACATTATTACAATAATTTTTATTGGTAATTTTAGTATTAGTAATAATACTTTATTCCGCCTTTATTTTTCATATTATGAAAGTGACAAATATAATAACCATCATTTTTAGAATACTGTTGAGCTGAAAGTTATTGCCAATAAATGATAATAATAATAATAGTAGTAGTAGTAGTAGTAGTAAAGTAAAATAATATAAATAATATATTCTTAAAGTTATTTTTAGTTCCATTCACATTTTAGAAACACTAAAATATAACTGCTGGTAATAATAAGAACAATATAATAATAAAAATAATAATAATAATAATAATAACAATAGTAATAGTATTTTATTCCGTGACACGGATAACAATAATAATAATTATTCATCGCATAATAAAGATATAAATAATTTATAAATAATAAAGATTAATCGCATCCAAAATAAAAGTTTGTTTTGACATAATATATGTGTGTAAATTATATATATATATATATTTGTATTATGTATATGTGATACACAGACATAGATAGGACAAAAACAAAATGATAAAAACAAAATAATAAAAAACTATTTTGTTACATTTAAATAATTTACATATAATTTACATATATATATATAATTTACATATAATTTGTATCATATATATATATATATATATATATATATATATATATATATATTATATCTAACTATAAATAAACATTTTCTCGAATATATGCATGCATATGTTTATATAAACACTAGGCATGGGCCAGCATGATAACCTTGGAAAAAAAGACCACAGTATTATAATTACAGCTCTAAAATATATTTGTTTTAACTCTCTGGGTTAAAAACAATACCTTTATACCCTTTTTAACACAAAATATTTTATTTTGAGAAACATTTAAAATATTCTGGAAGAGTAAACATGCCAGGCTAAATTAATTAACGAATTCTGCTGGTGTCATTTGTTTGAAAAAAAGTTTTTTTGCCATTTAAAACAACATCTTTAGATATATTTTCTGCTGGAGATACTGTTGTCCTAAAAAACAAAACAAAAGTAAAATGTATATTTAAAAAATCGTGGACGTACCTTATGAACGTTATAGCAGAAAATTTGAACGGTTTTAAAACTTTGAGATTTTGAAATTGCGGTATACCTTGAAAACAGTTATTGTCTCATGCCTAATAAACACATCATTAATATACACAGCACAAACACATCAACAGTTAAAGTCAGAATTATTAGCCCCCCTTTGATTTTTTTTTTCTTTATTAAATATTTCCCACATGATGTTTAACAGAGCAAGGAAATTTTCACAGTATGTCTGATAAAAATTTTTCTCTGGAGAAAGTCTTATTTCTTTTATTTCAGCTATAATAAAAGCAGTTTTTAATTTTTTAAAAGCCATTTTAAGGTCAAAATTATTAGCCCCTTTAAGCTATATTTTTTCGATAGTCCACAGAACAAACCATCATTATAAAATAACATGCCTAATTACCCTAACCTGCCTAGTTAACCTAATTAACCTAGTTAAGCCTTTAAATGTCACTTTAAGCTATATAGAAGTCTCTTGAAAAATACCTATTCAAATATTATTTACTGTCATCATGGCAAAGATAACATAAATCAGTTATTAGAGATGAGTTATTAAAACTATTATGTTTAGACATGTGTTGAAAAAAAACTTCTCTCCTATAAACAGAAATTGGGGAAAAAAATAAACAGGGGAGCTAATAATTCTGACTTCGACTGTATGTGTGCCTTTCATTTGGTGTTCTGCTTAAAACATCAAGCCTTTATTTTGACGGCAAACTGAAGAAAGACCAGTGAAAATCTGGATACCTTATTAAACCAGTCCGGACTCTTCTTCTTAGCCACAGCTAGGGTTGCACCAAAGCCTGCAATCATGCCTGCAGTGGCCACGGTAGCGAGAAAAGCACCGCCTGAACAAAACACACACAACACACTTTACAGAAATTTGTTACAGGATCACGCTCGCACAATAATGATGTGACAACAACACAATCTGCTTTCACATCTGGCTGGACAGTAGCAAACATCTGTGTTAAAACATCAGCCAGAAGCACTCATCATATGCTACAGCTGCACAGTAGTGTTCGGTCAAATACTGCAGGGCTTCATTAACAAACAATGAGTGAAGCACAGTTTGACTTTGTTTTTGTGGTCTGAGAGGGCAAAAACATTCATCTTCTGAAAAAGCAGCACAAAGGCAAGAGTTTTAGAGAGAACAACAAACACTCCTGTTAATATTTGAAAATGATATCATATTAATGTACCTACACTCAAACTATATACACGCACACACACACACACACACACACACACACACACACACACACACACACACACACACAAATATATATATATATATATATATATATATATATATATATATATATATATATATATATATATATATATATACAGTTGAAGTCAAAATTTATTAGCCCTCCTATGAAATTTGTATTCTTTTACAAATATTTCACAAGTGCTGTTGAACAGAGCAAGAAAATTGTTTTCACGGCATTTCCTTTTGTATTTTTCTTCTGGAAAAGGTTTTTTTTCTTTTATTTTGGGTGAAATAATTATTTATTTATTTTTTTAAGTAAAAACTGCTAAGGTCAATATTATTAGCCCTCTTAAGTAATTATTTGTTTGATTGGCTCCAGGAAAAAAACTACTGTTGTCCAATGACTTGCCTAATTACACTAACTTGCCTAGTTAAGGTAATTAACCTAATTAAGCCTTTAAATTGCACTTAAAGCTTAAAACTGGTGTCTTGAAAAACAAATAGTACGATAATGCATTCTGTCATCATGACAAAGACAAAAGAAATAAGTTTAGACTTGAGAAAAAGAATTGTTGAGACTCACAAAAAAAGAGAAGGATATACATGTTTATCAAAGCGATTTCAAGTGTCAAGAAGTGCCGTGAGAAGTATTATCAATAAGTTTAATGAGATCCACACTGTGGAGAACATGACTGGCAGAGGTAGAAAGCAAAAGATTTCCAAAACTTTGGAAAGAAAATTAGTAAGAGAGGTTTCTAAAGACCCAAGAACAACTGCCAAGACACTAGTGAATGACTTAGCCAAGTCTGGAATTAATGTCTCAGCAAAGATGGTCACTAGAGCCCTGCACAGGAGTGAACTGAAAGGTTGTCGACCAAGAAAGACTCCTCTTTTAAAAAAGAGACACCTCCAAGCTAGACTGAAGTTTGCCAGGGGCAATCTAGAGAAAAATTATGAATACTGGAAACGTATCCTTTGGTCAGATGAGACAAAACTAGAGCTCTTTGGCCATAGAGATGTTGCCTATGTTTGGAGGAAGAAGGGAGAGGCATTTAATCCAAAGAACACCGTTCCCACAGTGAAACATGGCGGTGGGAGTATAATGCTATGGGGATGTTTCAGTGCATGTGGAACTGGGAATCTTATCAGGGTTGAAGGAAACATGAAAAAGGAAGACTACCAGAAGATTTTGAAAAATAACCTCAAACAGTCTGCAACAAAACTTGGTTTGGGTCAACGTTTTGTATTCCAGCATGATAATGACCCAAAGCATACCTCACTTCTGGTAAAGAACTACCTTCAACAGAACAAAGTGAAAGTCCTTGACTGGCCTGCACAAAGCCCAGACTTGAATCCAATAGAAAATCTGTGGGGGACACTGAAGTCTAGAGTTCATGCCAGAAGACCAACAAATCTGGAAGAGCTTGAAAGATTTGCTAAGGAAGAATGGGCTAACACTCCTCAGGAGACATGCTTGAAACTTGTTAAGAGCTACAATAAACGACTGATGGCTGTTATCAAGCAAAAGGGTTACACTATTGACTATTAACATCAGAGAGCTAATAATTTTGACCTCCAAGCTTTTTTTATTTTTGATTATAATTGTGTTTCTGTTTGTATTACAAACACTCAAAGCTTCCTGAATAAACTGTTATGTTTAAAAGTTATGTGTTGAAAAAATCTTTAATCCATTAAAAAGCACTTGGGAGTTATTTGAAAAATAATGAAATATTTTATAGGGGGCTAATAATTTTGTCTTCAACTGTATATATATATATATATATATATATATATATATATATATATATATATATATATATATATATATATATATATATATATATATATGAAGACTAGAGACTATTAAGTAGGTGAGATGGAGGTGGTTAAAGCTAAACTGCAGAACTGTGGCCCTCCAGGAATTGAGTTTGAGACCACTGACTTAGAATATCAATATAATTGAAAGTATAATATTCTATTATTATAACAAATAACGTAATATCTCTGTTGTGTGATATCTAGAATTCAGGTCTGCTTTACAAACTTGACTACGTTAATCAGACAAGGTCAGTTACCATAACTTCTGCTTCATAAGTAACGCAGACTGTCAATTCATAATGCTTGACGGTGTTCATAACAATGGCTTAAAACGTTATCAAAATACAACAAACCTTTAATCAGATGTGATTTGTCATCTTCTACAATGTCACTGACTGCTCCGCTCGCGCTCGCCTGCTCTACTGACATCTTGAATAGGTCCGACCTACAGACGAGTCCGGCGGAAACACGTCTTGCGGAACCATTCAAATTAACCGAAAGTCCGCTAGCATCACTGGCGTTTTATTAAAATGCAATTTAAATCGTGCACACTGCTATATTCTTACTCCATTTACAGTTAAGAAACAAACAATGTCCATATAGACTTAATAATAACAAAGTAACATTAAGGCAGCAAGTGTTCACATAATCAGCTTTTGCATTATTTTTTTTATTTGCATTATAGTTAAATCATTTTCGAACTCGCAAATAATGCGAAATGTCTCGAAATGTTAGGGAAATCGATTGAATTGAGAGGAAGACTGAGATTCCGACGATCACATCGGCTGTGTTTGAAAACTGAGTGAGCCGCCTAGTGCCTATCTAGACTAGACGGCATTCGGCACATCACATCCTGAGAGAAGTGATATTCTGGATATTTTTGTAATATACTTTAAATAATAATAATAATAATAATAATAATAATAATAATACATTGTAGTTTATGTTTGAGGCTTTATTATGTTACATTTTGTCATATTTATTGAAAATTAAAACAATAAACTGATTCATAGAGATTCGTAGTGTGTTGGTAAAATGCTGTTCATATTCAATATTTTAAAATAAACATAATATTAAATAATATAAAATCTAAATAATTTTAAGTCCCAAAATCAAAATGAAGATTGTTTAAAATTGAAAATGCTGATTAGCCGCTAGGTTTTGCAACCCCAAACGTGATGTATACTATCAACTGAGTTCTGAGACACATGCCGCAAAATAAAGTGACTTTAAAGCCAGCTCACTTTGTTTTTAATACACCCAACTGAAATGTGCTGTCTACACAGAGAGCTCAGTCTGATTTGAGACGGCGCCGCTGTGTATAGGGTCATCGTGTGCCGTGAGCTCATGCAGTTCACGCGGTGATCTGTTCCATCCACATCCTGCGCACTACAAGCCTTCCTCTCTCTCTCTTCCTCCATCATCATCGCAACAGATGATTAAACACCCTCCTCTGTGTTAGTTTGGTGTTGTAATGTTCTACGTGCGCAGTCAGGACTATGTTTAGTAGGCGTTGATGCAATAAAGACCCTCTCACTGACGGAATTACGAGGACATCGGAAGGGCGTTTAATACATTAAATCCCACTTGTTATTATTATTTTTTTGAGTCGATTTGGTTTTCTCGGAGCGCTCCTTGTGAACCGAACCGGCGGAGTTACAATCTTTTGAGACGCCCGCATACAAAGCGACATTTCTGGGCATGATGTCCACATGCCTCCGCGTCCTGGAGCGCATCCTGTTGTGTTGAGGATAGACATCTGCAATGAAGGAGTTTATCCAAACAAACATGCTGACCAAACACTCGGATCTTATTTCCGTCCCATCATCTCGGATTTAAACATTAGCAGCTCTTTTAATCGTGATGCGATCGAACCGTTGTCGATTTCCGTAAAACATGGAGCTAAGAAAATGGTTCCTTGGTTACAGTTGCACGCTTTTCTTTGACTGGGTTGTGTAATGTTTCCCCCATCAGCTCAAGAGATGTTTCTACAAGTTCCAGCTCTCTCGTTAGTTCCTTGTGGAGGTTTGCGTTGCTAATTCACTCGTGTTGTTTGGAAGTTTGTTTTATTGCTAGTTGGAACATGCATCTTGGGGTCGAGGAGCCCATCCGGGAGTGCCAGTACAATCAGATCTGCACGCACAACTCCTCGCCCATGGACACTCCGCACATCAAGAAGAAGAAGAACAAACGGAAATGGCAGGTTTTCCCTGGCCGAAATAGGTTTTACTGCAACGGCCGAATCATGATGGCGAAGCAAACTGGGGTCTTCTACCTTACCATGGTTCTTATCTTGGTGACCAGTGGCCTCTTCTTTGCTTTTGAGTAAGTAACTGACCCATTGGAGAACTCTCCTCTGCCCCAGACACTGCCAAACATGGTGTTATGTTATTATAATCATGTTATTAAGGGAATACAAATTACAATATCCTCAGCAGTTACACTCAAGTGGTTCTAAACTTGAACACAAAACAAGATGTCCTGAAGCATGTTGGAAGCCATCGACGGCCATAGTAGGAAAAACAAGTACTAAGGAAGTCAATGGCCACTTTTTTCAACCTTCTGTCTTTTTTATTCAACAGAAGAAAGACACTCATAAAAGTTTAGAACCAATTGAGTGTGAGTATATGTGAGGAAATGTTCATTTCTGGGTAAACATCTCTAGGCATGGGCTGGTATAAGACTCTGACGGTATGATAACCTAGCAATATCACGGTTTCACGGTATCACGGTATTGTGATTACTGTTCTAAAGTACATTCTTTTTAAATGTCTGGGTAAAAAAACAACACATTTTTTCCATTTCTCATTATATTGGTTAAACTTTACAATAAGGTTCATTAGTTAATGTTTATTAGTGCATTTACTAACATGAACAAACAATGAACAATACATTTACCACAGTATTTGTTCATGTTAGTTAACGTTAGTAAATGAAAATACAGTAGTTCATAGTTAGTTCCTGTTAACTCGTTGCATTAACTAATGTTAACAAGCATGGACTTGGATGTTAATAATGCATTAGTAAATGTTCAATTATGATTAATAAATGCTGTACAAAAAAGTACATAAAAGATTAAAAATATTTTGGAGCAGTAGATGAGCGTGGGGCACAAAGTAACGCAGGAATAAATGTTAGTTTTAAGTTATGTGCTCAGGGTTAATCATGGTAGGCTTCCGTGGTTTTCACCACAATGTCGGCAGACGTCTTCCTGCCAATTATTGAAAAGGTTTGGTGAAATTTGAATGAGAAACAAAGGAGAAACCTTTTTTTGCAGCATAAAAGTATTTTTTAATATACTTTATGTTTTTTAATTTTTTTAATTTTTAAAATATTATTTTGTGATCACCATCTTCCAGGCTAAAAGATGAAACCATTTTGAAAGATGTAAAACACAGTGACTGCTAGCCAGTTTTGAGGTAAACATGACACAGCGGGGTTACAATGAATTAACAGGGTGTTACAATGAAGCCACACACTGTTGGACACCAATTAAACTAACAAAATAATTGCTTGAATTTTGAGTGTAATGCTGGGAACTCTTTAAATAAAAATGGTTTTTAATAGAAATCTTTTTTTAATAGAAAAAAATATATTTTATTGCTAATAATGCAAATTAATGCATAGTATAATAATGGATAAATGGATAATAATGCAAATAGATTCAAATGTGTTTAGACGTGTTTAAATATAGCTACTATTTAAAGTAAACTGAAATTCAATTAACTGTGTGAAATCTGCTTTTGTAAGCATGTGTTACAACTATCCCCTTGTCTGTTACAACTTGCCCCGCAGGTGGGGTAAATAGTAACATTTATACTCCTGGCACTTTTGACAATACTGCACAGACACCATAAGTCCGGCGATCATAATTCCAGTGCTCATTTGTAGAAGAGGCTTGTGTGTTATTGGTAAAATAAAAATCTGGTTTGTCTAACCCCATTACTTTGTTCACTATTTGACCAAAACCAAAAAGTGTTACTTTGTGCCCCGCTCTCCCCTAAGCATGTCAGGCTAAATAATGAAAATGAATCAATGACTTCTGCTCTTTTCATTAGTTTTAAAAAGCGGATTTCTTTAATATTTAAAACAGAATCTTTAGTTATCTCTTCTGCTGGAGTTCCTTTTGTCCTACAAAACAAACAAAAAAGAAGTAAATAAAAAAAATCTTACACATACCTTAGGAATGGCATTACAGAAAAATGAAAAATCTTGACATTTCCAAACTGTAAGCATATATCCAGTGACCTTTTGCACAAAAGTACAAACATTCCTCGCAATATTACGAATATTTTCAGACTACGGCAATTAAAAAAGATTATTTCATGATTAAAGGTTGTTTGGAGAACCCAACATGTTTTCTTTTATCTTTAAGTGTGGTATTGGTTACTGTAATGGTTCCATTAACAAACTTTAACCTAGGGCTGAGCGGATAAACGATATTTTATTGAATTGTGATCAAATTTGTCATTATCAATAATAAGCTCTGGAATTTTTTACTCCATTTTTACAACAATGGGAATCTAAAAGTATGTTAATCTTAGACTTATTTTGCCACTGAACTTTTTGTCAGCCGAAAATGTGTTATGTCATTTAATGGACTCTCTCATTTTGGTGGTGTCAGTCACTGTAGGGGTACCCTTTTAAATCTATCAGCCCTACTTTAACTTCAAGGAACTGTTTGAGCAATTCCAGCGTTATAGATGTGATTTTGCAGTAAAAACTCAAAACATAAATTAATAGAGAAAGTAAATGTTAACATTATATTGAAAGATCTGTTTAAATTTTCCAAAACAACTGGACCTGTAACCGATTTCGATTTTGGCTTCTAACGATTATGAAAAACCATTAATCGAGATAAACAATTATTGCATCATATACCGCCCCCTTTCCAGCTGTACACATTTGTTGCTCCTAAAAGCGCGAAAGACTGCATGCTTATGTGTGTGTGCGCTTTAATGGTCAAATCGGTGTCAAAGAGCGGTGTTTAGTGATTATTCATATTAACCCTCATTTGTGTAATAAACAAACGAGTTGAGAATCAAAAGACACGTGAAAGAGAAACCATTAAAGTGACAGCGCGCAATATTCCTGCTGTCGCCTGTTTTTATCATTAATCAAACAACAAAAAGAGAAAATCCCTCACTGCTCTTGACTGAAGGATTTTTGTAGCTAAAGTGTTTTTTTTTAGGGTGAAGATGCTTAAAGCACAGTTTGTTTCATATTTTTATTCTATTGTATTTCTCTTTCCTTTGCAGGGAAAATAACTGTATGTAGACAGTTAAAGTCAGAATTATTAGCCCTCCTGAATATTAGCAACCCTTTTCCTGCCCAATTTCTGTTTAATGGAAAGAAGATTTTTTTAACTTATTTCTGAACATGATAGTTTTGATATCTCATTTCTAATTACTGATTTCTTTTATCTTTGCTCTGATGACAGTACATAATATTTTACTAGATATTTTTCAAAATACAAGCATTCAGATTAAAGTGCAATTCTAGCTAAAATAAAACAAATAAGCCTTTCGTCCAGAAGAAAAAATATTAGAGGAAATACTGTTAACATTTTTTGCTCTGGTAAACATCATTCAGGAAATATTTATTTTAAAAAAATTCTCTTGAGTGCTAATAATTTTGACTTCAACTGATAATCGTTTTCGATAATCCTGATTACAATTATGACCAAAATAATCGTGATTATGATTTTTCCCAAAATCGAGCAGCCCTACTCTGTGGTTAGAAAAATATCAATCTGTAAACATGTGTTGTATTTTAAATGAGGGAAATAAGCATGCATTATGGATGTGACCAAAAAAGTATGCAAGTTTGCAGTCTACTACATACTTTGTAGAAATTCTGTGAATTAAACCGCACAACCCAAAAGACACAATGCTAATCTAAAGGATAAAATGTCTATTCTTTCTTTAGAACAAAAAAGGTTGACTTTATTTTATTTGACATTTTTGCAATTATGAGGAAAAAGTGTTGTTATGGATGTGACAGATGTGAAATTGGCACTTGTGTGACTTTGGTAAATCCAATAGAATAGTTTGAAAACACTGACAGAGGCATTTTTGAGTATCTCTAAAATCCTGTAAAATGCTTGCCTACACAAAAAACATGGAAACGTTTTTCGTATTTTTGGTGCCAACTCAATTTGTTTTCATGGCAAGGTTGACATTCTGCAAAAGATTCTTTAAAATAATAATATTTTAAATGTTGAATCATTTGTAACCCAGACAAACTGGTAACTTTTCAAACTCTCTGTACACATATTTAATAAAAGCACACAACAAAAGCTCTTAATTACATCATTAGGTAAGGATAAACACACTCAAGTTGTTTTTAAAGTATCAACAAGCCCTTTTTCTGAAGTCGTGTCAAGTTTGTAGGTTGAGTCTGAAGTCCATTAAAATGTGACTGGAATGTGAGTTACTAACTCGAGTGTCATTCCTTAGGAACCAAAAATGGTTCTTCTGTTGGATCAATATGAATTCCCCCTTTTCAAACGTTCAAGCACTGATAAGCCTTTAGATTTGGAAGCTGACAGCCGATTTATTTGCAGATATATTTATTAAAAATGCTTTTAAAAGTAAATGTCTGCATGAATGAAAATCAAAATGCGAACACGTACAAAGAACAACTGATTTTATTTTAAAAGCCCTAACTTCGTTTGAACTGATTTCTAAACGTTATTAATCAGCTATTCTGTTCCATGACTAACTTTTTTAATATTTAAAAATGAAAGCTACACTGTAAATTCTAACATGTTCAGTTTTAAAAAAGTTTGGAAACCGATTGCCTTATTTTTGTAATATAAACTTACAAGGAAATCTTAAGTTAAGTTTAATTATTGCCTTGAAGTAAGAAAACTAAAACTTATAAAGTAAACTAACTGTTAAAAATCAAGTAAGTTTAATAGAAAATTCTAGTTAACATACTTGTCATTATTTAGTAACCTTACTTAGGGTTTTATAGTAAGATCACTTTATTAACTCTATTTAACTAATACTGTTCTACCATGTTCAGTTAACATCTTGAATGCTAGTAGTCTCAACATTGATTTAATCCACCATTTTAAGTAATGTCAACTAAAGAAACTACGTGCAATCGGTTTCCACATTTTCTTCAATTAAACTGAACATAAAATATGTAGTTCAACTTACAAGTAATGACATTATACAGGTCTTAAATGTAAACATTTTATTTGACAAAAATAGCAGAATTTCACAATACACTTGTGATATTTTAGTATCACAATACACTTGTACACAATACAGTTTTGTAAAAACCTGTTGTAAAGTGCTGTAAAATAGCAATACATA